GTTCACAGGATCTCTACCTGAACACGCTACCCTAGATGAACCAAGATGAAAATGCGTTCCGTTTCTTGACAGGCCGCGGGTAAATTCTCAAGGCGATAACACACCAAAAACTGTCCTGATACAACCGATAAAGAGCTCAAAATACTCATGTAGCAAGAACATTATTCCTCACTAGAATCAATCTGTTGCACAAAAAAGCTTTTACATTTTGACCTGTACACCACCTGGTATATTTAGCACATTGTTTTTACAACACAGAGCTCTCCAGTGGCTCTCCATGATGGCGCCAGATGTGGTTGCAAAGAGATTTGCGTTGCTACAGCAGAGCCTGTCCTCTATAATCCGCTCATACAGGTTTGTAGAAAGTTAAATGTTCTGGGAGAAACCCCGGCGCTGGACATGATTTTTCTCAATCTGCTCCATGTGGGGTCGCATGGCGGTGTGTGTGACAGCTCGATCATCCGTCACAAAGCTGTGTATATGTGTGTACTGTATTAGCGTTACTCCTTCGGTTTCGCCTAATTGGACAGAAGAGAGGTCCCGTAATGAGTCGATGCGGCTGACCTCATCGCATGCTTGAAGTCAGTGGGAAAAAACGTCTCAGGCTTTCGTGCCCTTTAATAAAAACACATGTGTGTGGTTGGAGACGGACACGCATGCACGCTCAGCCTTCGAAACTCCCTTAAAAACCCAAACATTGGGGAGTTGTTGCTATGTGCAGCACGACTCCCTGAACAGACCACCCAAACAAAGCAAAACCGGACTTCAGAGAACTAAACGTCCCTGACTTGTAAAAGAAACAAACCATCCTCCAAAAAATATCTTCCTCCATTTTGTAAATGTTTGGGGAAAATATTAGATAAACACAGGGATATGGCTCTTGTTTACTCTTTCTGGCGAGGAAATGGATTAGAGCCTCTCTCCGCTGTCCTCGTGTAACTACGCAGGTTGTGCTGCGACCAGTTGTGTAATGCCGTAATTAGGCTAATGAAGGAAAGTTGCAGTGCGGAGAAATTCAAGCTAATTCCCGTCTTAAAATGGATTATGAAGCAGGAAGAAAATGGAGAAGTCTGCCTCCCGTCTTGTCCTGAGTCAATAAGTGAAGAGTTAAATACAAAAGCCTGGGGGCTAATAAGCCTTTAAAACCTGGAATAAGGAAACATTATCTAGCTTTACCTAAATACATAGCCGCTGGCTTTGTTTCCCTGATCTCACAGGGTCACACTTAATGAATAAAATGCTCATTTTGAAATGATAATTCAGTAATAAACAAAGAAATAAGGCAATTCACTGTTAAAAGCCCAATCTTGACCTTGGTTTTGTCCTCCACATGTTCACTGTTTTGGCTCCACATCTGTGTGCGTTTACACTCTGCATAAATATGAGCGGAGAGCCTAACAGCACAGAGCACGCTCAGTCTGCCTGCTGCACATTACACAAACCACGTTAAAAAGCACAACAGACACACACACACACACACAGTGCCCTGAGTCTCACTCTATCCGGGGTCATGTCCCGTCCACGTGGTTATTTTACATAACACTACTAGTGCCGTTAGTCTAACCTAGATTACACACCCAGCACTAAAGGTCTGTCGGATGCATAAGCAAAGCTGTGTGTTTGGTGCAGAGGAATGTGTGTATTTTAGAAGCTTGGATACAGTCTTACATATGAAATAGTCAGTTTAATGGTTTAAACATAATTAAAGAATTGAAGGAGGGTTCTGATTTATTACACCTTGGGTCTTATTTTCCCTTTATGGATAAAATTGACTCAAGTCTTTATATCAATAATAATAATAATAATAATAATTGATTGATCTGGTTTATTGCTGGGATCTTATTTTGTTTTCATTATTAATAGTGAATAAAAATGAAGGAGAATTTAAGTCTATATTTTGGGCTTAATTTACATTTCCAATGCATTTACATTCAGCTTAAACATGTACAGTGGTTTTGAGACCAGAACAGTTTTACAAAAGTCAATTACTTGGAGTTAAATCCAACTAACTTCTCTTAATGTCTTCCAAAACTACACGATATTGCCCGCAAGAAAGAATCTATGCACATTGTTTTTCTTTCTGAGCCACAGACACGCTGCAGATACTGATCTAGTTGGTCACTAATGCATGACTTTTGCCCAATTAGCCGACTGTAAACAAATGTAAACAAATGTAAACAGTCCCGCTTCTGTGAACAACAACAATGTTTCCAAATCCAGGGCTGTCCCTCGGAAACATTTTCAAAAGAGCGACAGGTTATTTAGAGACTTGCACACACACAGCCTCCTCCAGATGGTGAAGAAGAGAAGCAAAAAGGACGGCTGGAGGCGTGGATAATAAACTTCCCTCACATGATTCTACAGGAGGATATTATGGGAATGAAGGATGATTTAATCTAATTAACATGTTGTCCCCAAAAAATCCTTCACATTTCCTGAACTAATGTTACACTCCGTTCTTTTTTAAGGTCACAACACTCAGGCAATGTGTGGGAAACAACACACAGGGTGGAATACCCAGATCACTGTCTCTCACACTCTGGTTGAACTTCACAAAAAGCAGACACTCATACATTCCACACAAAAACACAGAGCCTCTTTCTATTTCATTTTATGTCTAAAAGATGTAATCTGGAGTGAAATAGATCACACTGCTTTTGCTCATTATGTAAATGGAGAGGTTGTTTTTACACATTACATAACCGCTGTCGAATAGGATTGTTTCTGGCACGTGCCCCACTACCGATGTTCAAATTTAGCCTTTTGGCCCTCAGTGCCAAAAGAATGCAGCCCTAAGACATACACACACTATTTTCAGATGCATGCTGGGTCCTGTTGGCGGAAAAAAATCCCTGTAATTACGGAAGATCAGAACTCTTAAAACAGCTCACGGGATCGACTCAGACAAGACTGTAAACCGTATTCTGCGTGACGGACAGGCGGTTGCCATGTAACATCTCTGTGTTTTTTTCATTTGCGGTTTTGCTCTATAGCAAAAGGAGAACGTATTATAAGTGTCTCTGCAAGTGAAACACAATGTGAAAAGGAAGGAGGACGAAGGGTGTGAAGACGAGAGACTTTTGTGAGAAAAAAAAAAGTGTGTAGTGAACAGAAGGGAGGGTAGGAATTTAAAAAATCTGTCAGAGAGGACTTCGGATGGGGACAAAGATTGTAGCATAAGTGCGTGATGCAATGATAGGCTGCAAGAGTAAAAATGGTTCCAGGAGAGTCCCCTTAGTCTTGGGGCTCAGCCCTGCTGGGGCCCGCCACGGCAAAACACTCGAACAAAAGGATCATTTATTGGAGGAGGAAAGAGGGGGAGGCGGTATGGGGGGGGGGGGATGAAAGGAGGGGGGAACACTGTACAGAGGCATTTGAGAGCTGTGCGAGTGAAACACTGGCCCCATCTCAACATTCACAGCCAATGTGTAACATTCTCCCCCACGCTGCCCCGCTGACATACTCCGCAGCGAGAGCCCATATGGTCCCACTGTGGTAGCCCGCTAGCTTTTATATTTAAAATACACCCAGCAGCACGGCCCGTTTCCACCTACATGGCCCCTACGTCCTAATAAATCCAACACGGCGATGTATGGATGCAGCCATTTCCACATGTGAAATATGAAAACCAACTGTTGAACTAAGCCTTGCTGCACTCTCTGCAAGATCCCCCTGATTAATGCTTGCAATGCCTCCGATTCTTCATCATATCCAACTGTGGGAGCGCGTCTATGAAATGTTTGCCACAGAAACCCATGAGGTTTAGGTCTGACACGAGCTTCGGTACAAATCATGTGGAAGCTAGCAGCGCTACATAAACAACAAGGCTTGGCAGGATGCATTCATCAGAGAAGAAGAGCCCCACTGTGGAAGGTGTTTAAGTAAGAGTGTTTTACCGATGCATATAAATCCACATCTCCATTTAAAAGCCGGTCTATCTGCTTAAACTGCAGGCGTCTATTTTCCAAGCGGGTCAATTAAGTGCAGACAGTGGCTCAAAGAGAATGTTTTTCTGTGTGGAAACGTCTCACAGTGACCTAGTTGAGGCATTGTTTAGCTGCCGTGGTCCCCCACAGCTAGGGAGAATTACCCCGACACAGTAGGGAAAAATTGAAGTACAATGAGAATTCATCATCTGGCCTTATTGAACGTTGTCGTGAATGCAAATCCAATATGTGACCACAAGACAGAAAAGCCCTGCAGTCAGCCAAACTAAAAACCACAGCTTTCAGCTCCGATTAAGCAATATACAAATCAAAGTAAACAACATTATAGCAACTTAACTGAAAGCGTGCATACGTTCCCTCATAACATCGTCATCATTTAAGATTAAAAAGGTTCTGGAAACTCACAAAATCTGAATCATTTTCTCCTCTATTTCTTCTATTCGTGTCACATTAGAGGATCTTAGGTTAACAGGTCAACAGACAAAAGGGTCAAAGGTCAACTTAATTGAATTTGGGGTGAACGCTTCAATGGTTGTTCTGAATGGTTTCCTTTGCTCAGAGTAGAACCGTGGTGAGTTGTTAGCGACAGGTTTACTCAATGAACGGCTCATCAGAAACAGAAGGATTCTTCTACTCATCATATATCAAACGTCTACTGAATTGACATCTAAAACACAGAAAGGAAGCCTCAACGGATCGATAGTCATATCCAGAATATTGATATTCTAATAGGATGTCATATAAGGCAAACATGTTTGCTTATGCTTTAAGCAGTACACCCAAGCTCTAGAGAAGGAAATGTGTTTATGAAATGCCAGAGCAGCCAAACTATATATCATATTGTCCATTATGCAGACAGTCAAATCAGGCTGGTGTCAACATTCTAATATGGCGCCAGGTATAGTATGATTACATGCACGGATGGAAAGGGAGGCTATGCTTCATTGGATTATCTAGAACGTGTATTGTATGTCTATATGAATAATGTCACAGAGCGCAGGTAGGAAGGGAAAAGAAAAGTGTGTTTTAACAGAATAAAAGGCGACCACTTACCAGTTCCTTCCTTGTTTCCATTCTGATGGGTTCGCAGCTCCTCTGATTTGTAGAAGTCGATGCTGGCGTAAGTGTTGAGCGCTGAGTTGCTGTTGCTGCCGGCTGCCGCTCCCGCTACCCCAACACCAGACCCTCCACCCAGTGCAGAGAAAAGGCGAGATGGGGCCTGGCTACCTGAGGGTCCATCCAGGCCCAAATGGGGGCCCTCTTTGTTGGCCAAGTCCAAGTCTATGTAATTAAGGCCTTGCTCTGTGGACGAATTCTGAGTGTTTGTGGGAAGGGACTGCTGTCCAGGGAGGGCGAACTGAGGGGGGTTCTCCGTCACAGCACCGTTCCCCCACAGCATGCTTTCAAAGCCCAGCCGACGAGCCACAGCTTGGGCATGTTCTGGGAAGAGGGAGGCAGTGGAGGAAGAGGAGGTAGAGGTGGGGAGGGACGGTGCAGCGAGGAAGGTTTCTGAGCAGTGGCGTCTGCGTCCTGCGGGGTCGGCTCGGATAACTTTAGCCCCGTGGTCTGGGTTGGGTCCGGGCTTGGCTAAGGGGAAGTCCAGACCCCTGGATAGCAGTTGGACTGAAGGATCAGTCCTGGTGGGAGAAGGGGCTTTCGGGGAAACACTGGATGATGACCTTGGGACAGTGTTGCTATTTAAGCTGAAGGCCATCTCTGTGTAGTCTCCACAGGAAGTTGGGGATTGAGACTCAGACAATGATGGGACACTTTCCCTGCTTTTCCTAAGAGGGGCTACTTCAGCTACTTGCGCCCCCTCTTCACGAGGGCTAGTAGTCCCCCCATCGCAGGATTTAGGGGCATGTGTTGGTGGTGTAGGAGGGGTGTGGAAAGTGTGGAAAACTAGTGGAGCAAGGGAGAGAGGTGAGGGGCATGGAGAAGGCCCCAAGTCCATGTTGACATACTCGGAGGCAGATGGGGGAGTGATGGGGGAAGAGGGGCTACGGGAGAGGGGGATAAAATTCCCTAAGCAGGAAGATGGCCTATGTTGAGGATGCTTGCTGCTTGAGCCATGAGGCAGTGATAAGCCGTGCCTGAGACCCCGGCCTCGCCCTCCTCCGACCCCAGTCTGGCTGCTCTTTTCCCCCTTAAACTCAATGCTAACGTACTCCCCAGGGCTCTTCGGTTCCGGGGGCAGCGGGTTCTCACGGACCCTGGGAAGGGTATTCGCCTTGGAAACATCGACAAACAGGCTCACTGGTCTGTTCCTACCTTGGCTACCCTGCTTGGACAATCCACCAGTGCCTCGTCTTTGCTGGAGCTTACCACAATCTTTGGACTGAGTGCCCCCGGCCATGCTCATTGCCTGGGAGGCTCGGTCCTCGCCCTCCCCGAGGCTCTCGCTGCTGGCTGAGCTGGAGGAGTATGAGGAAGAGGAGAGTGACAGATGGCGCCCAACCACTGAATTTCCCGCTGCCGTTTGCTCCTGACGCCCTCCCATAGTCCTACCTCCGCCCATTCCCCTACTGCAACTCCCATTGGGCCTTCTGCCTCGTCCAGGCCCATCGTCAAAGTGTCCGGCAGAGGGGTTGTGTTTGTATGAGCGGGGAAGGGAATAGTAAGAATACACCATCTTAGGGGCTGGCTGTTGAGAACTGGTCTCCAAATGACCGGTGTGCTCAGGAGGTGGGGGACTGCCGTTTACGGAACGTGCACTTATTGGAGACATATTCATGTAGTCACTGCCTGCCCTGCTGTCTGCACTTCCGCTGCCCATCCAGGCGCCTCCAGAGAGACCTCCACGCTGGTCCGGGGAGCAGCTGCTATTGGGGGACATTATCATGTAGCCGTCAGACGCTGGTGGAGGCCGGATCTGCTGTGGTGGCGACACACTGTTGTTAGGGGTCATGGCCATGTAGTCGTCGGCAGGTTTGGAATCTGAGTCCGGGACTGAGACGGCCAACGATTGGGACGGGGATGCTGGAGGGTGAGTGACGCCTGGCAGCATTGACATATACCCATTGTCCACACCTATATCTACACTACCACTTGCTCCCGCCACTTCACTTTTAAACTCACCAGCTACATCCAAGTACCCTCCTCCTCCCCCAACTGACCCAGCACCCATGACAGATTCCCTCTGTATGGAGGAGGAGGTAGAAGCAAATGACTCGCGGCTGGTGCTCCTTGACATGATGGCGTAATCGGCCGAATCTTCGTCTGCCGGCTCCTCGGCTCTGCGCTGGCGGGGGGGCCAACTTCTCCAGGGCCATCGGTGGCAACGAAGCTCGCTTGCTCAGCAGCCTACGTTCAACTTCACATTCGCGGCTGGAGGAGCGGCGCAGCACTCTCTTGGTCTGGGGCTGGGAGCCACAGACAGGGGTTCCTGGTGCTGGTAGAGAACTGGACGTCAAGCTCCCTTGGTTACTGCTGCTACCACCACCGCCACCACCACCACTTCGTTGGCCCATCAGGATATAGTTGGATCCCTCATCACCAATGGACTGGCTGCCGGTGCTACCAACAGAGCTTCCGGGGAGGCTCGGGGAGGGAAGGTGAGAGGGATCCCCAGGACTCGAGCAGTACTCGTCTGAGGAGCCATAGTCACTGGGTGAGCCCGAGACAGAGGCCCGATGGGAGGGGACTCGACTGTAGGCGCCAGACCCCGGACCGGCACCAGCAGACGTCACGCATCCAAACTCAGAGCCGTGCCCAGAGCTAGAGGAGAGGCTCGGGGCTGGGGAGGGCGCCGGGGTGGAGATGGAACGCATCAAACCAAGAGGGGTTTTAGCAGCAGTGTTCGGAACTGAACGGGCTGACTTTGACCTGAGGATTGGGGTGGTGGAGCAGGAGCCATTGGTGGAGGGGCTGGAGCATGGCCCTGGGAGCGGGATGTTCCCAGTCATACCATCATCAACTTTCCCACCATCGCTAGCAGTGCGAGATCTCGGAAAGGTATGCCGTGGGGTGGGAGAGGCATTGGCACTGTTGACCCCTGCTCCGTTGTTAGCTCCTCCTGGAGGCTCCGTTCGGGGTCGGCGGGTGAAGCCCACCTGGCTGGGAGGAGGGTTCGGATGATGGCGGCGGGAGGGAACACTGATGGGGTTAGAAGCAGTAGCACCTCCTCCAGGACCGGAGTTCGACTGAGACTTGCTGCGTTGGCGGAATTCCTCGCTTAGTGCCTTCATGGCCTCCAACAAGGTTTCATGCATGTTCTGCGCCACAACAGAGTCATCCACCTAAGACATGAGACAAAAGAAAACTCTCAGAAAATGAAAACATATCATTCTGATACATTTGTTTGTAACTTTATTTTATTATTGGTTCCAAATCAGACCAATGAATGACATTTGGAAATGTTACCGTTTTTGAAACTCATGGAAAATCATGTGTGGATTTAAATAAAAATGGCGTTAGTTTGTATATTTAAAATCAGGAAAGATTAGCTACATTTTTGTGCAGTTGAATTGGTTAAATAATGAGTTTGAATCTTTTCCACCCTAAGTTACAGTCAAGAAACTACCTTTATGAATAGGGGCATAATAGGTTTACATGAACTTTAACCCTAGCGTGAGTAATTTTATGGCTTCTCTGACTGATTATAGGCTTTTTAACATATGTGGGATTGGAGGGTGCAACTCTCAACATAAAGGGGACTGTAAAATGACAGGCTCACCTGCATCCAGAACTCGCCCGGGCCTGTCACGGCAGATCTTCCCACCTCCACGAAGAAGAAGTTTTCTGAATGGCCGCAGCGCCGGACGTTCATCAGCTGCAGCACGACGGCAGCAGCATCCGAGTTGAGCTTGACAAAGTTGACCGTCTTGTCAGTCAGGCAAAGGCGGTAGATGCCCACCAAGTTCTTGGCTTGACCCAGGCCTTTGGGCCACACCTTCACCTGCCACACCTCTTTGAATGCAGGCCCAGGATTGGGTATGCCATAGTCCCCACCTTCTTCGCTGTCAGTGTGGTTCTTACCTTAAAAGAAACAGAAAAGAAATAAGAGGTCAAAAGACTTGATAGGAAAAAAACAGAAGGTAATACATTGTTATGGAGGATGAGGAACACTGGCTACAGTTAAACACCGACGTGACCTTCGAGCATCTGTGAACAAAGTGAACCCGCCACTATTTACCTTTTGGTGGAGGGCCAGGAGCCTTTATTATGTAAGCTCTGCTGATATTATGCTTTTCACAGATTTTTTAAACCAGATCTGAGTTTTTATACAGAGCATGCAGGAGCTTGTGAAACCATACCTGCAGGCTCCATACCTGGGGTCTCATTTGTCAGCTTCACACACACACACACACACATCCTAACACACTAGCTCAGGTACCAGCGTTGAAAAATGAAACTGTTGACAACTAAAGCCACTCACAAAAATGATGACTTTGTAAGGAGAGCAACCGTTGTGGAAAAAAACGTAACTTGGAAAATGCTTAATAAGAGAATCTTCTCCAAATCCTAAGCAAACAATGCCAAGAAACCTAAGAGCAGAGCACTTAATAAGCTCCTCAAAATCCTTTTTCAAGAGCTGCTGTACCGACAATAAAACTGGCTTTGCAAACTAATAAAATCTTGTGTCTTTTAGTGGGAGAACAAGCAGCCTATTCACCCTTTGTGTTTCTGTATTCAGACAGTAGTGAATTACTGAGGCGAGGAAATGCAGGAGAGAAAGCTCTTGGTGAGATTTGATCCGGGGCTGGTAGTAGCCAAACAAAAGACTTACTTACTACAACACTTAGCCGCTGTTTTGTGTTTTAAGTCACCTTATTATTCACAGATCTCAAGCAGGCACCCAGAAAATTACCTTAATACTTGCATGCTGTGCACCTCATTGTTGGCAGCTATTGACACCGCCTCTGAATATATCACAGATTTACCTCTAAGCTCTTTAACTTGCTGCTACAAGGAACCTCACATGTGTTCGCTCAAAGACCCAGGATTACACGCATGCCATGATGCAATGTGATAGAATCATTATTTTTCTTCAAGGATCCACCCTAAAATTGTTTTCTAAACATAGTCCCTTTCCCACTGTGCACCACATTTTCTGAGAAACTGTCGGTATGCCAGGTTGGGTATGTCTGAACATGATACAAGTTTATAACAATCAATCAACGTTGTGAAAAGCCTGCGGAAAATAAACTCCATAATGATGCCTTCACAGGAACAAGATGTTCTTTGTACAATAATGAGCACCTGCTTTATTCAAACTCACATCTGGCAAATTGAAATATTGATGACTTATTTTTGACAAGTTACTGAGTGACGAATCGTATATGTTCACAAAAAGTGAGTGATATTCTAAATTAAGCAATCATTTTGGGCCCAATTATGCTAATCACAGTGCACCCTGACTGAATTACAAACGCAGTATGATTGTGTGTCTGCATGCGTTTGTTCTTCCTTTCCCATGCTGCAAATCCTACAATGGCAACCATATGTAGACAAGAAGCATGCACAGTGGAGGCCATATAAAATACGCAGATCTTCCACTGTGACAAACATTCTCCAAGAAACATTTGTACTTATTGCAAAAGTAGGGGGGGGGGGAAGTCTGACGTGTCTTCCTTCGGTTCGCTTCCCCAAAATTGAAGGATCGCAACTTGAAAGAGACTTAGAATAGATGTTTTGTTGAAAACCGTGGAGGCTGTGGCTATGTGGCTGTGTGTGTGTGGCTGTGTGTGTGTGTGTGTGTGTGTGTGTGTGGAGGCACTCCCCCTATATTAGATGACTCACTCAAGGCCATGCATGGCTGTTTCATGCACTGCTTCTCCCTGTGTGCAAGGAGCCCCGTTTGCCTTCTCGATTTAGATTTACAGGAAGGGATGGTTTGGGGATTTTTCAGTGGGGATCGAGGGAACATATATTGCAAAGAGATATCAGTGGGAAAGAATGTCCTTTAAAAAGAATCTCAAAGGAGGGAAAGTTCATTTTAGTATGGCTTGGATTATAACATATAATCACAGGCTTTATTTCTTCTCAAATTAAACTTTCTAGGCCTCCGTTTCTTGAGACTTCGAATGCGGTGCAGCATTCCTGTTCAAGAGCCGTTTAACGTGTCTTTAGGAGAGCAAAAGTGCCTTGTTTGTTTTGAGTACAGTCAAGTCTTAAACTGTAGCTGTGCCCTTGACATCACTACACCAACACACACCCCTTGATCTCAGGGCCACTCAGGCTGCACGCACTTATTGAGGGAAGCACTGAAAACCTTCAAGAGCTTTTCCCAGACTCCTACAGGGGGTGCAGAGTGAATTCCCCCTATTGAACGGATCACAGACCTTTCTTCATGGTTACATAAAGCTATGGTTGATCCTACATGGAGCCGTATGAATTATAGATCGCTGCTGGCTGTGCTCCGGGGGACCTGCATGTCAGCGTGGTGCTCAGCGGATGTGGTTGTTTAGAGCGTTGTACTTTTTCCCCCCTCCTCTTAGCACGAAGAGGTTTATCAACAGGGCAGCGTTTGCCACCGCAATAGGACAACCCTCAGAAACAACACACACACACACACAATTCCCCTGAGCAGGTGATGAATCCACGGACTGAAGAACATGAAAGCAAACGCAACGGGAGGTAATAAAGCATCTGCGTCGAGCTTGCTGGTTGAATAAGGGCGATGCGTGTGGGGAAAACAGTCGAGCGCCCTTCAAACAACCTTGAATACGCGAGTATATCAGGTCAAAGAGTTCATTAAAGGTGACTTATTCCAAAGTTGTTTTCCCGTTTTAGCAACCTGAAAACAACTTACACTGGCTTATTCATGCATCGGCTGTTTACTCCACTTTCGCCACGACCACACATGAAACTTTCAGTCTCCGTGCGCCTCGCGAATGGTAACCTACACGACCAACACTGCCCTCTATTCATGCCGTATATATTTGCTACGCTCAAGCTGCCTCCCTTGAGAACATATGTAAAAAAAGAGGACATAATCTAACCTAATTTTTAAAAAACTGGGATGTTACTGTACGTGGGAGTTTCATGCCGTCGACTTTTTATCATGTTTTAGGGAAGTATGTGTGTTGTTGAGGGCGGTGATATTTACCCCCGGGGCTACCAGATGCCTGCTGGGATATCGACTGCTCCTCCCTGAGAGACAGACTGATTATTGTTATGGATATCACATACAATCTAAGAAAGTAGGTCTTCCATAAGGGTAGTGGGGGCCCTGTGGGTTGTATCAGCAAGAACAGGATAAGGGTTTTTGTTATTTTAACACTGGGTGGGATTGTAGTTATTCAAGATGAAGTTTAAAAATCCAAATAAGCTAACATTTAGATACTAAAACAATACCAAAGTATTAGCTACTTTAGACACGTGTCAATGTAGGTTTTGTATTATACATCCATGTATCCATCCTCCCATTTCTGTGTTTAATCCCTTTCTGTAAAGAAACCGATTCAGATTTGCTTGGGGAAATAAAAGACTTTGAGGAATTGAAATGTATTGCAAAATTCATAATAAAATCCCTCTTCTTAGTTAGCTAATGCAGCCTGTAAATCAGGGAAACTACTCTGGCAATGAACCGTCTGGCTCTCAGGTTCTGTTTCAACTTTTCTGACCTCATTGCCCTAGCATGCTGTGCTGCGCCATAACACCGCAAAGCAAAACGTCTGAGGGATAAAACCCAATTTTCTTCCCCCCCATCTTAGCCACTGTGCCCCCTTACATCACCCCCACCGCTGCCATACCAGGTTACCAGATAGGAGACAGCTGTGGACTTTTTGTCTTCACATGCATGTGGTAGAGGGAAAAAAAAGTGAGCCACCCTGCAGTTAAAAGCAGTTGGGCTAATCTGTTGCTCCCATGTGTGCCCATTTTCCTCTTTTTAAACTCCTCAACTTCCTATCTTTTCATCAGTCTCTACCATCTGTAATCCCCCTATCTGGGCCCACACTCGGGGACGCAATGCCTCCCCGACACCAGCATCTGCCTGAGGTTCATTTCACATGTGGTTCCTGTTTGACACACACACACACACACACACACATAAGAGCATGAAATTATCGGTGACGCATCCAAGGTTTGCTGTCCCTAGACAAGACGCATGAAAAAGCTCCATGAAAGTGCAGCTCTCGCAAAATCACCAAAACTGGCAGCCATCTTGAACTTTGCTGGCGAGTCTGGCTCAGAGAAAGTAAACAAAAATGTATCTGTAGACTCAGAACAAGCAAAGAGGCCTCAAGTTAACTGCAAATGTGTTTTGAGGAACTTCACTTCCAAAATAGTACGCCTTTTTTTAAACAAGAAGTGGCTTTGAAAAACTGTCAAGTAAGATTCTCCTTGCACAAATCTTCCAAAGCAGTTCAATTGAATTTGGGAATTAAATCATTCAGAAATTCGTTCTGGTCTTCTCGGAGAGCGGCCTCTCCAACTTTCTGTTTCAACATAAAGTATCTTATGTAAGAACACAAAAGAACAGTAATTGAGGGAACTTAAATGTTGAAATATACAGTTGCACATCGATACTATTCCTATACATGTACACATACTAGAATAGGAGCACTTGCCCATGTACCCTTATGCAGTTGTATATACTGTTACTGTACACATTTAGACACTATCTGCCTAGCCATACTTAATAATAACTATGCCTAGGGTCATGCTAAAATCAATTCCACGCCTTGCTTGCTTTGAAATTCTGAAGAAAAAGGATATATGATATATATTTGATATATAATCTATGAGGACTGTATGGATGTTTTACTAGGACAGAGTGTGCGTCCAAAGGAAATAAGAAACTCCAACTCTTCAATACCCTGTATACATTCCTCAGAGTTAAGATGTAAAAAACAAATGTTTCAAACCACCGTCCGTTGCCTTGTTTTACTGGAAAACTTCTGGATTTTCATTCAAAACACAAAAAGGGTCCTCTTACATTTCAAAAGTGTATGTTCTTACGTTTGGCATTTGAGATAAATGGGATTGACAGGATGCATGCTACATCTCGGGAGGCACTGGTGTTACAGTACAGTAATCAACGCACTATCTTGCATTGTATCCCCCGGAGGAGTAGCAAGCCAGATAATGAGGACGGTTTTCACCCATGTGTCTTTTCTAATGCTTTCGCCGTGAGTCTGATAAAACCCAGCTCATGAACTCGCTGACCTCCACTATGACAGAGGTAATGGTCCAGTATCAACCGACAGCAATCAATACGGCTCGCTATAAAAGGTTACCATGCATTTAAAAGCCCCAAGGTTTTATCCTGCTCAACATATGGGCACTCATTGACCAAATGGATCTTGCTGGCTCCTGGCCATGTTATGCTGTCGATCAAACCGGAGCACTTCATATACGGGCTGTCTCGGCGGAAACGTGAAGCTCAAGGCCATTTCAGACTCACAATGTCTCTCTGTGACGCTGCATCACAAACAAGCCGGAGCTGGCCAGCTTGTTGTGTTACATGAAATTACAGGGTGTTAATGTGCGCAAACTATTTATGCAGAGGAAATAACTTGTGGCAGCTCACAACTCTTGAGCCTGGATTGGAAGACTATATGAGTTAAGGGAAGACTTGCTAAAAATAATAAGGCCACAGTAGGGCTGTGCGATTATGGCAAAAATCCTAATCACGATTATTTTGGTCAATAATTGATATCACGATTATTAAAAACGATTATCCATTTACTTTGAAAACATCCATTTATTGAAACAAAAATGTGAACAGTATGTTTTTAACAGTTGATTACCCTGAACTTTAAGTATAATTCAACTGAAAAACCCAAAAAAAAAATTAAAAAAATAATAAAAATAATAATAATTACATTTTTTTTTTTTTTACAAAAATAATAATCGTTTTATTTTGATTACATTGTTTTCGTAATCGTTGCAAGCCAAAATCGTAATCGAGATTAAAATACGATTAATTGCACAGCCCTAGGCCACAGATCATTTTCTGAACTCCAGATTGCATGTTTTCCTCCTGGGACTGTGTCGTTTCTGACTTTGTTAGCACACAGGATCTGCCGGGCCACCAGCGGCTGACCCTCGAGACAATAATTACCGCCTAATTAGGGAGATGAGCGGTGCTTAAGCGCGGCTTAACGTTTAAATCGCTCACCACTGGTGGGATCTATATCTCATTGGTCGAGGCATCCGAACAACAATCCAGGATAAGAACCACTCCAGTCTGCTAACGAGACTTTTTATACACTGTTCCAATGTGCCTACATCAATTCAGATTTGAGGGGTTTTGCAACAGTGCCATTTACTGCATTTGGTAAGTGGTACTTACAAGAGTGTCAAAAACGACATCATGATAATCACAGATCTGACTGAAGACTTTGAAGGAAATACTGCTCACATTGAGGTTTGTGGATCAGCATGAATATCCATATTGTTATATTTGGAAACAGATCTTGTTTCTCAGATGTCATTTTTGTGGGAGCTTTGAACATGGAAAACTAAATTCCAGGGATTTACTGTACTGCTGTGATGTCAACAAACCTCCATCGGAGAAGATATACGTGCTCTTGGTTAAGGTTGCAATTTATGATCCGTTTTATGACCACTTAAAGCCGATGATTGTTTGAACGAATAATGGTTTATTCATTTTTTTCCTTTGTGCATCTCAGTTGAAGACAAACAGATAGAGTTAGTTTGTCTAAAACTAACATTTCATCTTGTTATGGAGCTGCAAACAATAATTATTTCCCTGATGATTCATCTTTTTGATCATTTTGGTGAATCACGTGTGTCTTTTCCATCAGATGTACAAAACACAAAAGATGTTCTTGGTAAACAACCGCCCCAATTAAACCATTATCAAAATGAATGTAGATCAATTTGTTGCGGCCATGATTTAATTTGGCTGCTGTAATAAAAGCAGCCTTTCTGCACGTATGGGTGTTTCTCCCTTGTTTAGGGTCCAAAGTTTGTCTCCGCCATATTGTTAATGGTCAACAACAATTCTGGGGTGGTGCCTGAGCTGCGGGACAGTTTTCCTGGCAATCGTCGCCTGTGGGCCACGCCACCGCCCGTTCCATCGAGGTTAAGCCTTTACACACTCGACTGACTCCTAATAGTTGAGTAAATAGCTGCCCGCAAGCCTGATACTGTACTCGCTGCCCGAAAGGGTCTTACTGGACTCAGCTGAACAAATAACTGAGATCCTTATATCGGCCTGCACGGCAGCTGGCTCGTGTTTGTGTAATTACCACAGGCTTGAGAGGAGGCTGGGTAATATTGAACGGTTCCCGGGCTGCTTTAGGTGGGTTTCCCAGGCCCAGAGCACTATATGGCAGCCTGGGCGGGTACAGTATTTATTGTGCTTTCACAACAGAGGAACGTCTTGCTGTGGAGACTCAAAGATTCCAATCTTCATCCCATGACTTGATGATTCCAGCTTTTTTTTTTATGAGCTGATATGCAGGTATCAAATAGAGGGAGTGGAAAATATGTGGACACACGGTGCAGCATCTCTTGGCTCAGTGCCCTTTCTTAATCTGCAAGGCGGTGAATTCTTCAGTTTCCCCATTGGGATAAGTGGGGGACAAACACTCGACAGTAGTTGGAGTGACCGTGTTTGAAGACGAGGCGGTGGGGTGTAGAGGTTCCATCAACACACAGGCACCGAAGACTTGAAACCGTGTATGAGCTACGCATACCAGAGGAGGGTTATTACAGTCAGGAATCCTGACACCGTTCAGCATGTGTGTGTGTGTGTGTGTGCGCGTTTAAGCTATTTTCGCACTGCAGGTTTAGGCTGCATGACCCTACCCCTCTTACGAAACTCTTCCTATGCAAGCCTGGATCATGTGTGGCCTAGTTTTTTTTTTTCATAAGAGGAGAAACTGCGAGCGAACTGCAGCACATACCACAAGAAAATGCCTGCCAACGAGCTGGTTTGCACAGCAGCTCGGCCGCAGCGCTTTGTCACTGTCAAGGTAGGGTGATTTACAAGAGGAACCCAACACTTTAGGCGACAAAAGAAGGAGAAGAGTAGTTGCAGTGCATCACACCGGACCTGTAATTTCAAAGACCGCGAAAGCATCGTTGTGATTTTGAGGAAGCCCATTGAATGTTTCCCTTGGAAGACCGTTCACCTGCTGACCTTTACACACATTAGCACTTTGTAGATTAGATTGCTTGCACTTTGGAGACAGTTTTTTTTTTTTTGGAGGGGGGTGTAAAAAAGGTTGGAGAGTTAGTTTCTCACAATTCCCTAGGCCCCAACATCTGTCTATTCACTCGAACGTCTCGCGGAAACTCGACAAATACTTGGGAAGAGTGGGTGGAACACACACACAAACACACAGAGCCAGTTGTGTTAGAGCAACTAGGGGGAGGCGCAGCGTTGACACCAATTCCAAATCTGCAGAGGCAACACTGGATTCCACTTATGCAACTTTCTGGAAGAGCTCTCCTAAATTTAAGTCGAATTATACACATCGATTTAATCAAAAGAATCTGTAAAAATGAGCTTCTCCTTAAGGAATCATGCAAAAGCACCACTTTAAAATTGTGTGTGTAGCAGAAATGTGTCCGTATATTTCTTGAAAATAGGTAATTCAGCATACATTTTTTTATCTTAGTCAATTTAGAGGGGGAAGCCCAACTTTTTGGAGCCCCTAAATCAACCCCATGCGTGTTTACTTTGGAATAACTTGCTCTCACTTGATTTTAAATGAAAAACAAGATTAGGTAATACATCAGAATATGCAATATCCTTTCCTCAGGTGTTTTATGTAACAGAGGGAGGAGGTCATGTCATGTGCACCTTGAACCCGTATCCTTTGAGGCCTGTCTGCTCTCTCTCTCTCTCACAGAGGCTAACAGGTGATATGAAATTGCCCTGCTCACCACTTTTTGCTCAGCTGTGTTGACACAAGTGGCTGATATACACTGTTTTGGAAAAAATCTATATGGGTGTTTTTAAAAAGGGGGGTGAGTTGATTGCAGATTGCTAGCATGCAAAAGAGAGACAGGTTAAGCTGCTTAATAGTAGTACTAGTCAAATCAGGAATTAAATGTTAAATGAGGGACTAAGGTTGACAGGTGCACATGTGCTTCAGTGTCACAACTTTTGGGACATTTCTCTGCTCCTCTGGGATCAATGCCTGATGTAATATTGCAGTGTCAGCAGGGCATGCAAACCAGACAAGAGGGCAGGGTGTGTTTGAGTTGGGAAAGCTTGCACACAGATGAGGCCCACAGAGAGAGAAACCCTAAAAAGTCTAGGAGTAAACATCTAGCCTGACACTAGCATGATAAGGACTGCTGGGGAGGATGAGCTCCACAGTGAGGCTCAAAGGCACATGTGTACACACATTCCACTCAGAGGTCATATGCAGACACCTAGGACCTGTTCTAAAAGTATAAAGCACCTTTACATCTAATCTAAGGTAATGGGAGTGCAGCTCAGGTCACACACTATGTAAACTATGTAAACTTGGCGTGGCAAGTTGTAATGATTGTTTAAACAACCCCAGCACACTATCCAAAGAATGAAACATGTCAGGATCTGCAGTGCAGCTCTGCAGGCATTGCCACGTTTCTCCTTCCATGCACAGCCTCATACAGTATTAAGTGTGTGTGTGAGAGTGTGTGTGTGTGTGACTTACTTTTGCACTGCAGCTCCACCATGGCCTGGTACCACTCGTCCTGGTCCGCCTCGCTCTCCGCGGCGATGGCGAAGCTCTCGGCCCGGGTGTAGAGCACTATCATGTGCTTGTTCTTGGAGTCGGCCCGCTTGTTTATGTTGAAGCATGTCTCCAGAGCCAGTGCTTTCTTCGGGACGGGGGCCTTGCCGCGGAATTTCTTCTCGCTCTCGTAGTACTCCAGGCGGGCCGGGCCGCGCTCCGAAGCGGCGCGGAGGACGAAGTACCGCCGGTGCATGGACTTCTGCTTGCGGAGATAGCCGCTCTTCCGCACATCCTCGGTGCTCTGGATCTCGCCCGCTTGTTGGCTCTCCATAACTACCGACATCATGTTATTTCTCTCCTAAAAAAAAAAACTATTTTTTAAGTTTAGAGTGATAATTCATCCGCTCCCCTCCCTCTCTCCCACATCAACGCAGGCATGTGAAAGAGGGGAGGCTGGGGTCGGATCGCTGCTACTAATAGTCCCGCCGGTTGAACCTGAACCAGGGGGCTGCAGTTGCGGTTAGTTCCCCCCTTTTCAAGCTTGTTCTTCTTGGTGTTTTTCTGTCCGGCCGGTGCAAGTTTTCCTCACAGCCGAGCACATGCGGCACAGCTCGGCGCGCAGCTCCCCCTACTCTCCACTACTACTACTACTACTACTACTGCTGCTCCAAGAGGTTTAATCCCATTTAGTGCACATTACACAGCACAGAGTCCATCCTGTCGGTCTGTCTGCGTCTCCCTCTGTGTGTCTGTCCCCCCACCCCTGCTGTCCTGCTCCGGTCTTCTTGTTGCTGTTGAGCAGCTACCGTGGAGCAGCAGGACTGTCACTCAGCGCTGTACTAGTATACTGGGTCCTCGGTGCGTTCATGGACCGATCCCGAGCTCAGACAGCAGAGCTCCCGCCGTTTCATTCGTGCATTCCTGTGCTCCAAATCCGGATTTGTGACAGATAGATGAAATCACTGAAAGTAACTATACTGAAGATTTCTACAGTAATATAATGTATAAGAGTAAAACATAATAAACCAATTCATAGAATAAAAGAATAATAATAATCACTGAATAAATAGTTGAAAGTGATTGAATGAAAATATAAATAGGTCAGGTTAAATTACTTCACTGCCATGGGGAAAGTGTTTATGCAGGTGCTTTCTGACATAATTAGAATAAGAAACTTAAATCTTATTCAAACCCTTTAAAGTGACTTTTATACTGTATAATACCATATATTTGTGTTGTTGTATTTCACTTAATTTCAGACGACGTGGTGAAACACAGCTTTATTTTTTTGTAATATGCAAAAAGTGAGCACAACCTGACATCCAGTAATAAATAACCTTTTAATCCTTTTATAATTGAATCACTATTTAGTAACGCTTTCATATAAACACTTTTCTTTTACACATGTGTATTTTCAAATTGTTTGAGAAGTCATGTATGTGATCTTATATCTTGTGTAATTTATTTTTACTTATTTTACTTTTTGCAATTTTCATTTCATTTGAGTTTTTTTTTTAAACTTTCTTGGGCTGTTATAACGTCAATGTATTAATGTGTGTTTTTTCCCCACAAGTTCACTCAACCAAGAAGCAATATTTCCCACAGCACGTGAAGGCAGCACGGCTTGCAGTGTGTGTGGAGTAAGATTTCAATGTTGGCTTTACCACTAGTCCATCCTGTTCTATTTATTGTAGAAATCCCCCTCTGTCCTGTATTCATTTATATTATATATCAATTCAACTTTCAAATCGCCCTGGTGTTTTCTGAACATTTACGTTTTCTACATTGAATGCAGCAGGAGGTCGCATTTAAACACATTTAAAATCTAGGTTACCAGTGAAACCATTCAATACAATGGTGCTTTTTATTGTTATTGATTCCTAAATGATGCATAAAGAGCAGATTAAGCTGTAATTAATTATATGAGGCTTTTGGAGACGCCATATTTATGCCACTCAGACTGGCTGAGTGAAACGACTTTGATCTGTGTCGACTGTCTGTCTGCAAACCTCCATCTCTCCCTGCTGCTTAAATCCCATCGTTGCCTCATATAAAACATATCACAAATATGCACGTTTAAGATGACCTCTGAATTTTAAATGGCAATACATCTTTTAAAAAGGTCTTTTAATAGTCCTTCTGAAAGCTATAGAGGGCTTCTATCTTTGTGCGGTGTGCTTATGCAGTATGTATGTTGTTATGCAATATGCATCCAAAAGTAACCTTGTGCATGAGGTCAGAGAAAAGTGGATATCAAGCGCCCCCTGCTGTGTGAGGTGGACAATACAGCTCTTAAAAATACACTTATTTTACCCACAAAGTAACCCTTATGTTGTGTTCGGGTCTCCCGTGACCCATCTCAAGTTAAAATTATATAATAACTACGCTCTAGTTTTTTTTTATCGGAACAAGGCTTCATGATATCCTACACAACAGCTATATAAACACTACAAAACAGATTTTGACCATTTTTGCCAAGTCTGAAGGTCTCTAAAAAAAAATTGGTGTTCTGGTCTGTGAAGACCCAGCAAAATTGTTTTGGGTGACTCGGGGTCAAATTTGGCCCAATCAAGATTCATCTTTGACTTTAGACACCCCAGCCCCGCCCCCTTCATCCACTGTAACAATAATTTTTCGCAGCATGCACCTGGTCTCCCCTCCCTCTGCCCCCCTCCCTATATGTACACTAACACTTGAACCTGAACTCACACATGCACGTGTGCAATATGTGGTGTAATGTTTTTTGGGCCATAACATTCAATTACAACAGGATTGTACGGTTATGAATGCATAATAAGTTAGTTATGATGTAGTTAAAACAATATTGGATGATAGTCATTTTATTTGTGTTTTGGACTGAAATAAATCATGGGTCAAAATTGACCCGCGAACACCATGAACAGTAACAGCTTTCGAACACAACACAAGGGTTAAAGTATAAAAAGTAAAAGCAATCATTGTGCCTTTATCTGTGTATATAATTATATTTATACATGTGACATTTCTAGATGGTATTGTTGGATCAAGTAGCATTTTACTGTTGAAAAACAAAGTTCTGATGGACTGTTTGTAAATTATTTGACCCTTATTTTGACCCTTTTAAATGTAGTGGAGTAGAAGTATAAAGTAGCATTAAATGGAAATAATCAAGTACCGCAAAATTGTACTTAAAGGTGGGGTAGGTAAGTTTGAGAAACCGGCTCGAGATCGCTAGAATTTGAAAATACACAACCGGAGAAAATCTGCCACTTCCTTACAGAGCCCCTCCTCTAACACACACGAACGCGCACATGACCAATGAGGGCACGATATAAGTTTGTGCACAGATGGAAGGCTGACAGGCAGGTAGGCCATCCAGTTATTTTAGCCGGGCCGGCTAAAATGATTGGTCGTGCTTTTTACAGTACTACGGCTTCCACAGATGACATTTTTTTATGGATTTTTTGTCAAAGCACTTAAGATATTCATTGCTATCGGGATGTTAAGAGCATTCCATGGAATATAACAAAAAGTGTATCTCGAGCCGGTTTCTCAAACTTACCTACCCCACCTTTAAGTGCAGTACTTGAGTAAATGTACTTAGTTGCTTCCCACCTCTGGTTCTCAATGTCATTTCACAGTTTTGAAAGAGACTATAAATAAAGTAAAGAAACACCCAGAGCCAAACTGTCTTAAGAAGCAACAAACTGATTTTATGAACATGAATACTCGTCTTCACAAAGACACATTAATCTCTTTTCTTTTTGGCATATACGGGGAAATGAACTTCGCCTCCATGTCAACAAAAAACAAAACAAGAAAACATTATGGTCCGGAACGTGAAGCAATGACGAACTGTTTATACACATTTAAGTTATTCTGAAATGTCTTTTACATTCAGTAGCATCTCCTTTTAGCCCTCTAAGCGCATGCAGCCTAGGAAGTGGAAAACATACATTATCATTCAAAAAAATGACCCGGGAAAAAAAAAAAAACAATGACAAATGCAAACATGTTCCACACACTCAACACAGAGAAAAAGCCTGTCTCATCTTTAGAGGCTAACTCCCGTGCACCAGGAGGCTGTTAAGGCTGTCATGAGCTTCTGTAGAAACTCTACACACAGACAGGCTGTTTGTTTTGCACTTTAAAGCAGGAGATGAAAGCAAAGTAGCAGCAGCGACATGTGTGTGTTTGTGTGTGTGTGTGTGTGTGTGTGTGTGTGTGTGTGTGTGTGTGTGTGTGTGTGTGTGTGTGTGTGTGTGTGTTTCTGCAAAAATCACAGAGGCGTTGTTCTACTCTCGACTCCCACAGAGCCCTGAGGTGGCGTCTACTGGCACACAAACACCTTTTTTGACATATGGTACAAACACAGCAGGCGACCGATCCCAGACACACATGAATACCATAATTACATTCACACATTTTTTTGTTCCTCACTATAACACGTAAACACAGACAGAGGGGGGGGGGGGGGGGGGGGGGGGGGGGGGGGGAGAGGGGAAGAGAGGCTCCCATAGAGGGGGAGAATACTCCAGAGGCATTGAAATGGCAGCGACTCCTCAAGTTCTCCCTTTTTTCCCAGAGATGAAGTAAGAAGAGAAGGTGGGGGGATTCAGATGAAAGGGTTTCGCGACGTCCCTCTACTGGCGTAAACATTGCCCTGAAAGACAAGAGAGGAAGGGGGTGAGAACGGGCAGAGGGGACTTTACTACACTTCCTGTTTGCAGAAAGGGAGAGCTTGCACAAAAATACCAATTAGCCCCTCTTTAAAACCCCCCCCTACTTTTGTTTGCCAGGCAGCGAACTCACCGTAAACGGGTTCACCGACATCGGACGAGGGACTTTGGGCTGAGAGTCGGGCGCGGGGAAGGAGGCGAAACCTGAAACACACACACACACATGACGAGACAGAAAAGGAAACATGCTCAGTGGTGTGAAGACAGCAGCAGAGTATTGGTATTCCTGAGCGCTTCCTGGTGAACACTGTGGAAATAATGAATGATTTGGAGCCTCACAGTGTTTGATCTGCAGCCAACGCACATACTGTACACGTCAAACTGCCACAGCTGCCGTGTGGGAGCAGGGTGTTCATTTTGAATGCAGAATATATCGATGAGATAAGGCTGTAATCTAATAGTTTGAAGCTTTATCCATAACGCTTACATTACAAACCACATATGAATGCTTTTTCTTTCATGTTGATTCAATCTGTTTCAATTTGATATGTTGCAGATAAAGATTAAATTACACTTAAATCACTCAAATTATACTATTTGTAGAATTGAATCACAGCTAAATGCACTTTAATACAGGGGTATCTCCTCTTGCACTTTATATGTCGTTGCTGCTATATTGTATTACCATGATGTCATAAATACTTGTGTATGCTGCTCTTGCTCTTTTGCACTTTTTGCATATCATGTATTTTGTTTTTGCTATGTTAGTCAAATGTAAACTTCTTAAATGTTTTATGTGAGGGACTGCGGATGGAAATGAGCTCAAAGCTAAATCTGGCACTGTTACGCTTGACACATTTTAATGTTTTAAATGTTCATTACCGTGCATTGTCCCTGCCAAATAAACGATTACATTAAATTAAATTCCAGTGTTGGTGATGTAGGATTATTTGACTCGTCATATCCAGACATTTCAAATAAATCCAGAACATTGTAGAGTCCAAAATTCAAAATGTATTGCAAAGATAATACATGATTTTTCCATTTTACATGTTTCATTCTAGCAAAAATATTCTGCTTCCATCTATACGGGTATTTACTGAGTTCCAAAAAATGACTTGCTCTCCAATTTGCCGCAAAAAATGTACAATAAAACAACGAAAAAAATCACATTTTTCATGTATTCAAGTGTGATAGCTTTATAAACTATCATGACAGACATCAAAAGCTTAATTTAAAAACCTCAACAGAAGCTTCAAATGTAAGGACATGCAGTACAGACCTATAGGACTGTATATAGGGGAGCAGCAAAGATCACATTTTACTGGACGCTATTTGTGGCTCTACAGATCCACTTTGGTCCATATTGAAATATCTCATCAACTATTGGACGGACTGCCATTTCATTTTGCGCATATACTTATGTCCCCCTCAAAATGGTATATTTGGTGATCTATGATCCTTTGCAATCGTTTTTGACAAACATATAGTGTGTATAACCTATAGAAAGCACGTTTAATAGTCTACCTTAAATGTATAGGCTGTTTGTCACATGATCCTGGTGAGTGAAGTCCACTATATGTACTATAATTCACTATAACTGTAATTAATATACACATCTGTAACTACGAAAGGCGCTGTTAAAGGTCCCATGTCATGCTTTTCCGGTTATTACCCGTCTCCTTATGTGTTATGTAGCTTTTTCTGCATGTAAACGGTCTGCAGAGTCACAAACCCTCAAAGTACACCCTGTAGCGAGTAAAACTCTAACACAGAAAAGACCTGTCTATGCTGCCCCAGAACGCCTCGTTGGAGATTTCTCTTTTTCTTCCTGTTACCAAGTGACGTAACGACGATCAAATGGACCAATCTGTGGAGCTCCGCACACACACACTCACTCAGCCTTATCTTTTCTCAGCCGCGAATCCGCGATACTCCACGGAGTTTCGCCGGCACACTCAGCCTTATCTTTTCTCAGCCGCAGCTGCGTTGATCTCCACTCACAGTTCGCCACACACTCAGGTGTGTGTGCTCAGGCTGAGTTTCGCCGTGTCTCGCTGTCTCGCAGACCCCACGCAGCAACCAGGAAACGACACCAGTAATCCAGCTCACACTGTCGGCTCCTCGAGTCTCAAAGGGCGGAGCAGCGAGCCCCGCAACGTCCCGCCAACACGGCACCCAGACCCCACGCAGAATTATCATCTGTTTGTCATTACTGGTGTCATTTCCTGGTTGCTAACAAACGCCATTGTAACACAAAATCACACATCAGAGCACAGTGGGCTCATAGGGAGGGGGGGGCAGGAGCTCCAACAAGCCGTTTAGGACAGGGGGTGTTTCTCAATCGCGAGTACGCTTGCTTGGTAGCACATGTCTGCCGAGCATCTTGCTTCAGAAGCGAGTCAAGAATACTTCCTGACATTTGGAAAACAAAGAGTGGAACAGGCTAGCAAGTGTGCAGGTGTGCGTCATATGAGAGGCCCAGCCTTACATTTTCCGCCACAGATTTTGGAAATTGGTCCGTGCGCAAAGCATTGTGGGGATTTTAAGACCGCGGAGTCTACTCATGTGCAGCCTCGATATTTCTCCAAACGGAGTACGCCGGGCTCGGTAGATTTCCAAGTATGCTGGAGATTGGAACAGTACTTCGGCGGCACTCAATGACGTAGCATGCTTGAAATAGTGGCTCTGAAGCAGCTTTACTCGCGATTGAGAAACACCCAGAGAGTGAATACACATACTATACAGAGATGCTGTATGAGAAAACCAATGTGATTTTGGAACATTGTAAATCTAAATCTTTTCTAGTAGACCTCAACAATGGAATTATGATCAGTAGAAATGGCCATGACATGGGACCTTTAAAACAATTTCCTATTTTCTATGTAAAGACACCACCTTGGACTATGACAAATAAATTCTAGAAGATTTGTTACCATTGGATTCCTGGTTGCTGGCTGACTCATGGTGAAATGCATTCTGGGTGTTGAGTGCCGGGTAGGAGGCGGACGGAGGAAAGACGGGGGTGGGCGAGGTGACAAACTCACCGGAGTCACCTGCAGAGAAGACACACACACACACACACACACACACACACACACACACACACACACACACACACACACACACACACACACACACACACACACACACACACACACACACACACACACACACACCCACACACACACACACACACACACACACACAGTGAGATCAGGAAAGTATTTTTATAATAATTTCTGTAGTTAACATGGAACCCTAGAGGAAACAGAAACAGTAATAAACTATATGAGTGGTCAAATACAAACTGAATACTTAAATAAAAAAATTATTGAATGAATTATTTATTGGTACATCAAATTGTCAAACCTCCAGTTGTTTATTCAGAAATGAGGAATAAAGTTTGTGATATCAATCAGTTATAACTATGTGCTAAAATGAACAACTGCTAATAAACTCAGCACTGCTAAACTCAAATTGAACTGTGTCAAAACTGATTTTGCCAGCGTATCAACATTTGGTTTGCCCCAGATATTTCATTAACAAAGATATGAACCACATTTGAAAGCTGGCACCTGAGCAAATATTTGCTATACTTAGCAAGTGCATTAAAAAATCTAGTATCCAAATATTGACTCATCAGCTGAGCAAATATTTGGATCATTTAAACTCTTAAAGAAATATATACTTTTCCATTAACTACCTAACAGTAAATGAAACGATCTTAAAAAACAATTCTAGATAGAATAATTGTTATCTTAAAAAAGAAAGGGCTTGAGTATTGCAAAGGCTAATCCTAGAAAAACAAAACCCTTTCCTTAATAAAAAAAAAACGTTGGCAATAAATCCGCATATCATTTTTTTTTAAAGAACGTATAAATTCATTCGAATCCCTGCAGGAAACACTTGCAGTGAGCTCCCCTCCTCTGAAGCAGAGCTTAACAGAGCGACGTGTGCAGACCCTGAACATGAGCCTCACCTCCTGATGAGCTGCTGAAGGGGTTACTGGGGGAGAGAGCAACGGGCTGCTGGGAGGCCGAGCTAGAGCTGAATGGGTTGGGGAAATCTGAGACAGAGAGGGGGGAGAAGAGACGGGGGAGATAATTCACACTGTGGGGGTGTACAGGGTGCATTCCTGTCTATTCAAACCAACACTGCTCAGATGCATCTTAATTAGGGGTGTTGGACAACACATAGCAGGAGGCAGTGCATGCTGGGTACCTACTTGCAAACGTTTGGGAGCCGGAGACTGTTTCGACACCGGGGGAACTGGGGAAAAGTAGAAAAACACATTAAAAAAAGGGCTTCACATGCAGGGAATTTATGTTGAACAGAAGCTGATTTGACACGTTTTGTTCTCCGTACCTGGCAGGAGTGGAGCTGGATGACAGCCTGTTGCCGAAGAGGGCGTTGTACTGCGGAGGGCCAGCAGGTGGAGCTGCGTACAAGCGTTTCAAACAGAACACAATATGACCTCAGGGCTGTAATGAGCGCTAATTCAAGAGATCAAGAGCTACTTTTTTATTAGTGTGTGTAAAAGAGTTGATCTTAAGCGTGTAAGTCACCAGATGAACAAAAGCACAACAAATCCCCCTGAGTAAAATGTCCTCTCTCTGTGTCTCGATATGAATCAAATTGAGTTGGGGCAGAAAATCAATAACCTGCTTTTCTCTGCCAGGCAGGGGGGAGGCTGTGATGAAGGTGGAAAGGAACAAAGATTCTTGTAAGAAGCTCAAGGGCTTCTCACATAAATCCTGAGCACTTAAAATAAAAATAAAATCGCCCACCTAGGTTATTCGAAAAATAGGGCTGATTCTTAATCGTATCAACAAGGTCCTTTACATGCGACTGTGCTCAATCCTGAGTAAACACAATAAGCAGAATTCAGCTGCTAGAAGCCTTGGTATTTGGAGTAAGGATGTTATGCAACAGAGTTGAGCTGGCCGTGGCAATCTGCATCACACTCACACACAAACACACACAAACACACACACACACACACACACACACACACACACACACACACACACACACACACACACACACACACACACACACACACACACACACACACACACACACACACACACACACACACACACGCAACTCTAGCTCAGCCTCTCTATCTTGTGGAAAAACTTGTCTAGTACAAAAATGTAAAAAACACTTAATTCCAAGTACAATACCTCCATGAAAATTAAAGCATGTATGACTGAAGTATTAAAAATGAAAAAACGTCTTACACAACAAAGACAACTTCCTAAGGAAAGAAGAAAAAAACAAACTTCTGCCACACAAATTTGTATTCTTTTTTTTGTGGAAATGTTCTCTAATTTTGGCTTTTTATATGACATAGGGCCCAACTTGCTACGGCTTTTATTCACAAGGATGCAGGTTCGGAGTCAATGGTTAAACCTTTAAAAAGTGTAATATTTTATTAGCTAAATTTGAGTTTTCATCAAAATCAGAAATCCTTTTATTTGTCCAACAGTAGGAAAATTGTACTTGATATCCTAAATCTTACATCCTTTTAGCAAATATAGGTGTGAAATACACTTTAGCTGACAGTGTACTGGAGTATAAATATACAGGGTAATGCCTGTTATTAGATGAAAATCCGAGAAATCAACCCACAGCTATAACATGAGAAGAACATTTAAAGTAACTACCTAAAATATTTCCTACCTGCAACTGTTGGTGGCTCACATAAGACGCTGTCCAGATGCGACACCGCAGCGTATCTGTCCGAGGGGTTGGAGTTGCCGGCTTGCGTTGTCGCCTGGCCCGCGTTTCCAGGCTGCTGCTGGGACATAGAGTGGGGCAGAGAGTGCTGCTGAGGATGGTTCAGACCTCCAAAGTCCACGCTGAGAGATTTGGGGAAGGCCCTGAATGGCCCAGTGGTCCCTGAGGCCGATACCGTACGACCTGAGAGTGAGAAACAAGACTGGGCTTCAGTGCAAAGACACAGGATGAGAGGTTATAGACAGATAATTCTACAGAATAAGCAGGTATAGGTATAAGCAGTTATAGGTATAAGCAGGTATAGGTATAAGCAGGTATAGGTATAAGCAAGCATAGGGCTGAGGGAAAAAGTCTATAAATACGTGTCAAATGTTTTCAGTCTACAAGGCAACATGAGCAAAATACCTTAAAGCACCCAGAAAAAAATACGTACATTTGAACATACAATTTAATGACAACTGATAAGGAAGAGCATTTGATACAAAACAAAGTGTTACTTGAGGGTAGATAATTTTGTCAAAATACTTAAATTAAACTTTTTTCATTGCACTAAATCCTCATCGATATTAAAATGATTGTATGAAAGGATATTGTTATATATCAAGTTATCAATATGACAAAAAGAAACAGAGCAGTTGTTTTCATGCTAGTTCAACATTGCCATGCTATAAGGCTAGTCAAAGACAGGATTAGCATGTAAGGTTAAGCATTATCAAAAGATTCTAAAAAGCACAGCAGCTAGTCAGCATGTTCTTGGACAGTTTTCAAAGCGCCAACCACAAATATACAGTTACTAGACAGTTACAAAGGCAGGAAATGTAAGTCTTTGTAGGTAGCAAGCTTTCCACAAACATTAGCCACAAAGCATGCTAGTAGTATCAGCCAAAAATGTTAGCATGGGGGTCGAGAGATATAAAAAATGTTTGTGTAAATCCAGCTCCCTCTGATAGTGGAGGAGTTGGTGACAGAAACCAGACCAGACTATTCAGATTATCTGAAGATATAAAGCATACTAAAGTCAAGCTGCATGTTTTTGGGATGCGGTCATGGATAAGGCTCCAGATAGCGCCTATCTCTGCTAGCATACCTGAGCTTCCTGGAATACTTGTCTGGGATGTGTATCGTGGGATTACAGCTGTGTCCTACATAGTCTGTAAGTGTTTCAACGCCAACATGGAGTGAAAAATCTGCTGCCCTCTTCTGATGGGGGTGGTAGCGGCTAAAAATAGCATTACTTTAAACTTTTTCCCCTAAGGGAAACAGTGTGTGTGTGACCCTCCCAAGCTTCAAATCTGGCTTTGAGGAGGGAAAACTGATTGATGAAGAAAAATATCAACCACTTTAATGGTTAAAGTGCTGCGTTTTCTCTGAAATTGCTACTAGCATGAAGCTAATTCACATGCATGGGAGGCATGGCCTTCCAGCATGAGCCATAGACTGCCCATTTATTCATTATGAATGATACAGCAAGGAAGAGCTTATCGATCTCAGCCATTCAGCACACACTCAAATACGTCGGTTTGTGCTGCGTCTTACCTAAAGTGAAGTGGTTTTTGAAAGAGCTACTGGCTAAGAGGTCGGGGAGGAGAGGATAGTGTGATGAGACAGACAGAAGACAGAAAAACAGAGTTAACGGAGGAGAGAGAGAGTTTGTCACTGCGATGTGTGAAATGGTTTCCCTGCTGTTATCTAAGGCCAGCTGAGTAGCCCGTTGAGCTATATACTCTTATAAGAGCAACCGAGTGGGCTAGATGATGACATAAACCCACAGACCCATGAGATGGTTAAACACAGTCAAGATGAAAATGATGCCCGCCAGCTAAGGCTCTCTTTCTCTGCCCTTCCCAAAGTGACACTTACAGCACAGTGATGAGTGGACATGTTGTCAGTGAGAATCAGCGAGAATATCTGCATGTCCCTGACAACCCGATGGCACTGTGCACTTGCAGATTTTACAGCTAGAGGCCTTTAGAATAGAATAAAGTATATTATATATATTTAGTATCAATTCATCTGGAGGAATCGCTTTCATTTTATCACATTTAGGTGCAACATATTGTCAAATTTCTTTCCAGGAATTTATGAAAGCTGCTTTATGCTGCCTATATTTTTCAAACTTGTATGTGTTTCTCTATACTTTCTGACTTCTTTAGCCTGCCTATGACTCTCAGTCCCAACCCCATTGGTTCTTCCTTAAGGCATAATTCAAATATATGCTTTGATTTTTGTTTAAAAGGCAAACAAAATTCTCGAAAAGTTTGAGCAATTTAGTTCTCAGAAAATGTTACACAACCAGCGAATGAATATACTCTTTGTGAACTACAACAAAATAACCCCCTCTGTATTATTTTGCCCTTTTTCTTTGTATATATTACACAATATCTTTTGATTTATGTGGAATTTGGTAAACTCATTGTGTGTGATAAATGTTTTCCAACTTGATTGAAACCAAGGAGGAATAGAAAACATGGCGGGACACACCTGAGGGCCGCGGGAGGGCGGGGAAAGAGGGAACGTGGCTCTGAGCTCCAAGCGCTGACGAGAGGGACCCCGGCCGCTGTCTTTCTATCCCGCACAGGGTGGGATCTATATTATGGGAGAGATATCAGACAAAGAAAAGGGCAAATAAGTAAAGGGTTTGATCGCATCCAGTCCCAAAATATCAACTCCTCTGACTGAGATCCTCCTCCAACCTTTGAGAGAGGGGTCTCTGAAGCTCTGGGAGCGCGACGGCCGAGCGGTGAACGCGTCCGTCCGCATGTCGGCAGGCGAGATCGCAGGAGCTCGATCCCATAACGGCAGCTGGGACTGAGACTGGAGGACGAGAGACAGCAGGACAAAGAAAGAGGAGGCAGATGGGAGGTAGGGAGAAAAACACAAAGGCAGAAGTAGTGAGTCTCTTTCATGATTTCTCAATAATTCATAAGCAGCCGCTTTGATGTCGAGGCTACCTGGTCCTCTCGCTGTCCAACCCATCAGTGTTTTTGCTGTAGTTGAATTCAGGTGGTTTCCTTACCCTCTATTCTTTTTTTAACCCTTTGAAATACTTTCACTTCCTCTTCTTCAACCATACCCACCCACTTTCAATCTTAAAACCTCTTCCTCTCCCTTTCTTGTTTTGTTCAATTCATTACAATCATGAAACATTAGGCTCTCTCACCAGTGGCCTTGTGGACCTGGCGTTTGGGGGCAGGTTATGTGAGGGGGCCTGGTTCGCTAAGGGACCGTGGGAAGGGGGCACTGCCTGGACCCCCGGGCTCCAAGGACCCTCGACATCTCTCCGGTTCTTACTTTTGGAAAAATGCCTGAAAGAGACAGGTTATTTAGTACCGTTGAAATGAGTCTGTGCCAGTGCCTGGCCTCGTAAAAAGCACAATCAAGGCTTGACATTAAGTGAGTTACACACCTATCGAACAACATGACAAAGAACATTTATTTAGGGCTTGGAAGTAAACCCAAAACAATGACAGTTCTCTTACTCCAAGCAAATAAAGCAGCTTTTGTTCTTGAGCTAATTTTTCTAAGTAGGCACTGAAACAGTGAATGTCTACATTTGGAACAAACGTTAGATTAGATGTTGTTTGGAACACATTTTCTCTGTTGTGCCCTTTCACTTTTAGAAACTGAAAGAATTGAAAGTCCATTAACAGGAAATGTATCTGAATTAAGAACATGAATAATTGAACTTAAACAAGCAAAATGCCATAACAAGACTCAAGAGTCTACAGCCTTGCTTTGTGAAGCTGTAATGAAACTCAGTGTGCTATGAGCTACATGCTAATGGCAGCATGCTATTAAGGTAACTACTGTATAACCATTATAACCTTAAAAAGTAATGTTCCTACATACAATGCAGCTAAAAAACAATTTACATCAAATTGTAATCATGAAAATGCTAACATGCTATTGTTAAGCGGGTATGTTTACCATTTTGTTTTAGCAAGATAGCATGCTAGCATTTCTGAAATAGCACTAAACAGTAAAATACAGCTGAGGCTGATGGAAATGTCATTGGTTATGCAGGTATTTGGTCGTTATCTGAAGTTTTGGAGGAAAATGTGTTTACTCAATGATGGAGCTACGTGCTACAGAGTTAATTGAGCTAAATGCTAATGTCAGTATGCTCATAACATAGTAATATTTAGCAGGTATGATGTCAACCATCGCTGACATATTATCGTTGTTGAGATATTTCAATAAAAACTAAAAATGTCAACCGAGTGCTAGCACAGGAGGAAACTAGGAATATCACCAAAGCAATGGGGAATAATTCTCTAGGGACCATCAATGTCTTTTGAAAATGTCATGACAATTTATCCAAGAGAAGGGTTTTGAAAACGTTTCAGGAAAAATAGTATTTCTGAAGATACCATTGTGTAGGCTATTGATTTCCCCCCTATTTTCTGACATTTAAAACATCACATATTTGAATAAATAAAAAAGAATCATCCGATAATGGCAGTCCAATTGTAATCACATTAGCTTATGCTATCAGTTATGCATACCAAACCAAAGTTCTCACCACTTTTTCTTCTCAAATTTGTCCTGAAGGAACTCTTTGAACTTCTGAGAGTCCTTCATGTCTGGGCAGCTGTCCGTCTTTGGGTCAAACACGCAGAGCCATGTCCTCCTCCCGACCTAAACACACATATCGCCAGAGAACAATTACAATTTGCGACAATTCATGTCATGCAGCACCCAAAAAAGGGTCAGGGTAATCTCTCACAAACAGAGCATCTCATTAGTGATTCGTTTTTGGTTCAAGAGTGCCACACAATATATAACAGCCTGTGACTCATGATTGGCCGGATCACTGTTCAGAGGACGATGTGGTGACGGTACACACCTCTGCCTCTTCTCCCCATTATGCTTGACTCACCCATACACGAATCCTGGCCAAAAGCAAGCTCATAAAAGTGGCCAGCACTTATTTTGATGGCCTGAAACACTCCACCGTTTATTTGTGTGATATAAGCTCAGCTGTTGTGCTGCCCAAACCAGTGTTTCCTTAAAATGGGTGCTGTGTGGAGAGGCTTTTAATAAAGATTGACATAAAAAAAGGGAGGTAGCGAACAGAAAACAATAGAAAAAAACCTCAACAAAGTCATATTAAGATCTGGAAATAGATCTTGGTTTGGGTGGGACCAGAGAGGGCTGGTCCTTTTGTGTCTTGGCAGAAGTATTCTTCCCAAGAAAAAGAGCCTGACAACAAAGACTGGTTCATCTGGTAGCCATGAGGGAGGTTTCATATTCCAGATCAGAACCAGAAAGGGACTTTACAGTAACACCTGAAGATGAAAACACGGACCAACAAGCTTTGGTACTCGTTTATTGACCTCAGGTGACCTTACAAGACAATACAAAATACATATAAATGCATTTTTGTGAACGTCACTCACCTCGTTGCCATGATTTTGAAGGAATTCCACTTCCTGTTGGGAGAAGGTTGTCATGGAGATAGACTTGACTCGATGGGGAGGGTTGAGGCCTCTCCTGGGAGAGATGGAGAGAGGAATTTGGAGTAAACTAAAAAAAGGAGGCAAAATTAAAAATGTGTAGTGATTCCTCGCCTCTGAAGACAGGATAAGGGGGCAGAGCAGGTGGGAGAGGAAGCATTTTTCATACCGTGAACTTTAGAGGGCAGAATCGGTGTGAAATAAGGTGCCTTGTGACAGAAACCCATGTGTTTACTAACCATAACCTCTTATTATCTCCATGCTGGGGACACAAAGTGGGACAACTGCTGTGTGCATGTGGGATATTGCGCAATGAAAGTGCTGAAACCATGGTCTTCCAGTGTGTGAGGGAGTAACATGCGGAACAGTATGTGACACACACACACACACACACACACACACACACACACACACACACACACACACACACACACACACACACACACACACATATAACACACATATAACACACACCCACACTGGAGAGAAGAGTAGAAGGAGGGGGGGTTAGTGTCAAACCTGCACCATGACGAAATTAAACGTAACTCAGAGCTGGAAAATGACCAACTAGCGGTCTGTCGTTTATGAAGCTGTTGGAAGACACGCATGAGAGAGAGAGAAAGGGAGAGGAGGGAGACACTGCGTAAATTAATATCTGCACACACTCCCGGCTGTTGCACCACACTCCCCCCTAATAAATAAAAAAAACATGTTAATCTGGGTGGTGGTTGTGGTGGTGCATTCTCCGGCCTGTCACTTTTTAAATCAGCAGCAGTAAATGAAGGAGGCGCGGCGGAGGGTTTTTTTTTTTTTACTCACAGCATTCCGGAGCACGACGTGCAGACGAAGCTGCCCACCGTGATGTCGGTGTAAGTCACCCCGGGCTGGTTGCACTCGAAGCAGTGTTTGTTTACTCCAGACTGGGCCAGCTCTCGGACCTTGCGGGCGCATATCTCCTGGTTGTCCCGGTGCTTTCGGTTCGACATGGTATCCCTCCGGTGCCCGGCTGACAGGTTCGGTGTAGAGCCGGTAACCCTCCGCTGTCCTCCACCTGAAGCCCCCTATGTTTTTTTTTTTTTTTACTACATGGAGCACTTCACAGCCCGCATAGAGGCTTTATGCGGCTACAACCAAACGCAAGGCTACACAGAGGAGAGGCACGTCAAGATAGATTCAATTAGCTGCACATACACCGGAAGTACCGCGTATTTCCTTTCCAAAATAAAAGTAGAAACACAGGGGACGCTTTGCTGTTAGGCAACTCTCAATTTTACTTTCAGGTTGCCTGTTTCTTTAAAAAGTGTGTTCCAATTTACCACTGGTTATCTCATCACAATGTTAGTAGGTCAGAGTATTTTCCAGTATATCTGTGTTTATTCAGCTTTTTTTCTGATTACTTTGACATGAATACACATGAAAAATGTCACAGTTTACGGGTAAAAACAACTTACCACAAGGTCAAAGTACATCAGCATTTTGAAGCTATAAAACCTGCCTATTCATCAATGTGTTGATTCAAAAGTGTTAATGCACATTATTTGCATATGGCTTCCTTTTGTATTCTTGTTCCTTATAATTTAATCTAATTTAGATCACACTGTTTAACTACTAATGATGTTATTACATCTTGTATCTGTGAAGCACATTGAACTGCACTATCCTGTATAAAGGATGCCTTACAAATAAAGTTTGATTGAATGATTGGTTGTCTCATTGATTGGTTCACTGACACACTGCTTTGATTGTATCACTTCAACAGCAAATGTCAACAGCCATTTGCAGTTGTCATGTTTTTATAGCATTAATTCTGGCTTAAAGATGTAGACTAAACTCTCATCTATCTCAGCATTACAGATTTCCATTCAAAAACAAGTGGCCTGTTTATGACTATCATGCTGTTTGATGCAATATTGTACCAAGACCTGAAGGCCTCATATTTTCTGTGTAGCATACACTTTGAGGTAATTTAATAAAAAAGCTATTTTTGGTCAGTAAAATTATACATGCCCAGTATCTGACAGTTAGGAGATGACAGGAAACGAAGGGGGGGGGGGGGAGAGATAGGGAATAACATGCAACACAGATCTTTGACCGGACGCGAACTGAGGACAGTGGTCAGCGGTTTATGGCCAGTGCCTTAACCCCTGAGTCACCAAAGCATTCCCAAAATGTACCTCTAATATTTTAATAATTCAGTTGATATACGGTGTGTTTACATCATACCCAACAATAACATTTGACCTAGTGAGTGGGTTAATCCTAATGCAGTTGATATTATATTGTTTGTTTTTTATCTGTGCAGTTGTGCTTTAACTGCCCAGTCATACATGTGGATGGTAAGAAAGCCCTGACTGAGTTTCCCAAGTCAATATTGGGAATAAATGTGCCATAGGTCATGTCTTGTATTTTCTCGCCTATTTATATTTTTGGTTGACAACCTAGAATAAGTTAAGTTGAGTTTATGACATTTATATAAACCAGGGTAAATAAACAAAAATGCATTAATCTTAAAAACAACAGATATATAGATGCTTTGTACCAAAATGATTTACCAGCTAATTAACGTCTGTAGTCCCTATGCCAGCCAGACTTTTATTTTGAAAAATCTGTAATACCTGAAATTCTGTGTGGGTTGACACTTGGACAGGCGCGTAGGGAATCTCCTGTCAGAGAAAAACAAGAACCTGTCGATCAGCCAAGTTTTACATCGTGTAAGAACCGTTGTATTACTCTTTAAGATCCGACTATTTGTTCTGAGTGCCTCACTCTGCTGCGCTTTCTCTGTGCGCCATTTACGCACAACACGCCCCCGTATTTTTGGCGCAGCGCTCCTGACACTCCAGCGCGCTCTGGCAAGGGGACAGATTATTTTATGGGAGACAAACAGCTTGGGAAAGCGGAGACGAAGTAAATAAGTATTGATGAATAATCGATAATATCTAAAGTTTGTACAAAGTTGTGTCCTTGGGCAAGACACTTTACCCGAATTTGCTCCTGTGGGTAATGTCCACAGTAATGACTCTTACATGTCTAATTATGTGTAATGTGTAATTGTAAAGCGCTTTGAGCACCTGCAAAAGCGCTCTAATAAAAAAATGTGATGCATTATTAAAGTAAACTAAGATTATGTTTTGTAGGCTACATGTTTGAACAGTTTCTGGGTGTCAGTTTCTTTTTAAACCTGTTCTTCTTGGCTGTATTCCCAAGGGGTAATGCCATCATTTTAAATACAGGTTTTTCCAAATTTCTTTGTCGTGACGTGAGAGAACATCTCCGGACTATTTATTTTGATGAAGCAACTAAGCAACATATCTAACTACGCCCTTTATGTGACGTCTATGGAGTTATATTTAAAATCACACAGGCAGAGACAGTCCCATCAGTTCAGTGGTGAGTGAATGCGTCAAGGAAATGTGATTTTTTTAAAGATTGCCTCACAGAGAAAACAAGATAAGATCCTTTGCAACATGAAACAAAGTAAAGGAAGAAATCAGTCACAGTGTTTTTATGTGAACTGCAGTGGCTGTGGATGATCAGCAGGGGGAGCCACATACAACATGAGGTGGATGGAAACAGATATACAGATTTAAATTATGTGTTTGCATTTCAACACAAAACTAAGCAGAACATACAAACAATGCTGTTCATCCTCTGTAAGTACACTTCCCTGCTCAGCATTGAACCACAGGCTGCATGGTGTCTGACTACAGGCTGTGGTGGTGATGGCAACATGCAGATTGCTTGTTTAATGTTGCCCAACACGTTGTAAGTGGTTGTTTGGCTTTTTGTGAGATTATGGAAGCCTCTGTCGGCCATCAAATGAATAAAAACACTTTTTCAATATCTCATCATTTTGAGTTAACTTTGTTTATTTTTTCTGAAAATCTCATTGTTTATTTCTGAATTATTACATAATAATACACATTTGTACTTACTGTCCCATATTAGTCTGTATTAATTTAGTTACTTTTATAAATCATTTCATATTTTTAATTAGTATTTGGAAATATACTTGATTTTTTTAACTTAGATTCTCATTTTTTTAAAGTTATTATACCACATTGTTGACTAATTTAAGCCTTACCTTTGACTTTTATGTATACAGTTATATTTATCTGCTTAGTATTTAAATGATTATGTTACTGTATCATGTTTTTTATTCATTATTTCATCATTTTTATTAAGTAAATTATAGTTTTCACTTATGCTTGTTTGACACCACTCACCATAGTGTGTTTCTTTCATATGTTGCATTATTTATTTCCCTTATCTTCACAGGATAAGCTTCCACTTTTATAGATAGTAGATAAATAGATACATTTTCAGAAGGCTTTACTTCCTTTTTCACCTCTCAAAAAAAGAAACCAAGAAGGTTGCCAGACATGAATACACACCGATACACACCCAGTCTCTGCATGTGTTTTACACTTCACTGAAGCTGAAAAGCAGAATAAACAAGCAGCAAAACAGAAACCAAATATAATCCACATGTGCCTACTGTAGAATGATATCATTATCAGAGAAAAGTACATAATTACACTCCATTTTTCAATATGATTCACCAAGTAGATTTAGACTCAAAGTTATATTAGAGACCTTTTAGTGTAACCTTTAATTTAGAGAATTTCCTACCACAATTTGCCATGAGTAAGAAACCCGGAAATAGTGTGTGTGTGAGGGGGTTGGACCTCGTGTATGTGTGTGTGTGTGTCAGGAGAGAGAGAGAGAGAGAGAGAGAGAGAGAGAGAGATTGAGTACTCCAGTCTCTGGAAGGAGAAACATCAACCGGTTTCCATCTGATTTAATCTTATTTATTTGGGAATATACCCCCTTATCGATCAATAAGGATACTTCCTTGCAGAGGGAACTTTGTGCAGCATCCTCTCTAGCGGAAACGAGGACTAACTTACTTTCTATTTCCCAAGATATAATTATATGATCATATATGAGCTGCGTTCATTCACAAGTGGTGTTGTGGCTCCTCGGATGCGCGAGGCACACGGTGTCCCTTCAGAAGAGAAAAAGCAAAAACAGGACGAGCTGCGGAAGGAATACAAATTATACTTTTGAAAGAAAACGCTCCGAGAAGGAGAAGAATGAGTAAAAAGTGCCGGTGAGGAGCCTTAAAAAAGCGAAGAGGATTCAGTGTGTTCTGTGCCAGGCTGCTGTCAACTTCCTGAGGATTCAAAGACATACAGAAAAGTGTGATCTGCGACTATAAACGCAGGGATGACAGTCAAACTGGACTTTGAGGAGTGTTTGAAAGACTCCCCCCGCTTCAGGTAAGAGTTTCACCTGTGCTTTAGTGCTAAAAGTGAAGTAGCCAATCAAAATGAAGCAACAACACATCAGAAAGTGTGTCAAATCACCTTCTGGAGTTTAAAATGATGCAAAAAAGAAGCGTACACCTCACTCTTCTGATACAGACTCAACATTGTATTCATTTTTTGGATGGTCTTTATGCAGAAGCCTCAAAATGACTTTTAATGTATTAAATGGTTACCTAAGAAGTCAACTTTGACAGTCAGCAGCCCCAAACCCTCATTATCCTGATTCAAAATCAACATACTTCCAATTATATTCCTTTTTCGGAAGGTTTTTCATGCAATAGCCTTGTTTAAATGGCGCGTAAGTATCCAAAAATGACTTTTAAGGCATTAAATGTTCCCTTAAAAGTCAATTGTGTTGGTCAGCAGCATCTTTGGGTCTTAGGTCAAGCCATGTTCTATCATAGCAAGTGTTAGAACATGGCTTTAGTGTTATAACTAGTGTTTGACCTTAGGGGTCAATAAGGGGGAATGAGAAGCTAAATGCAGGCCTTCAGGGCTAAAAAAAACCCTGATCTGAGGTCTGCTCTGTGTTGCATTTTGATGTGTCATTGACACACCGGAAGCCTAAACCTATTGTCACTCAACATCTCACTCATACAGATGGGTTTTAATTAGGGCTGCTCAATTAATCGTATTTTAATCGCAATTACGATTTTGGCTTGCAACGATTATGAAAACAACATAATCGAAATAAAACGATTTTTTATTTATTTATTTATTTTTATTTTATTGGTTTTTCAGTTGAATTATACTTAAAGTTCAGGGTGATCAACTGTTAAAAACATACTGTTCAAATTTATTTTTTCAATAAATGGATGTTTTCAAAGTAAATGGATAATCGTTTTTAATAATCGTGATATCAATTATTGACCCAAATAATCGAGATTATGATTTTTGCCATAATCGAGCAGCCCTAGTTTTAATATCACTTGACTTGACTTACTTCAAGCCTTCACCATGTAATTAAAAGCCTCTAGTGTTCCTAAATGCTGTCAATATTGATCTGCTGCATGCCAGCTAGATTCTTCAATCAATCTTCTTTCAACACACAGTCAACATCTGGTGTAATCAAAAGGGAAGTGTCTCTAAATTGGTTTTGCAAGCGGCTCTAGAGAGAGTTTGGCAGATTTTGGGTGTGCCCTGATGGCTGTTGGCATCCTGCCTGAGTCACAGTAGCTGCTGTCTTCTCTTCCAGCTGATTTGGCATGTTCCCGTCCCAAAGCCTCGGCCTCTCTTTCTCTGTTGGCCTTATTCAGCTTGTCTTGCACAGTGGTGGAAAGTTTGACTTTTGCCAGCTGCAACAGTGAGGTCTCGTGTCAGGGCGAGAGCAGAAGAAGCAGCGAGGGGGGAAAGGGAAGGAAAAAGTGATCTTGCATGCAAACACAGTCAATCCTACAGATAAGCAGAAAATGTGAAGGAAGACAGAAAAAATATGCACTGACAGCTCAGGACTCAAATGTGCTGCCTCCTGTTGCTAGGAAACGGCGAGGTGGGAGGGCAACAGGAAGTGAGGCGAGATGTGCCGAGGTGATCAACAGGGGAGACAGGAAGTGTGGGGAGAACCACGACGGAAACTTCGCTTTAGCGCTTTCTTCATTTGCTGTGACACTTGCTCAGAGCAATGTGAACAGAATGTGCCTCTTCAATGGAGAGATCTTACATCTTCCTCCTTCCCTCTCTCCTTAGCTGACTTGTCATTTGGTCGTATTTCAAGAGGACATGACCTCAGATGTTGAATCAAACATCCCCGCACTAACAAACACAGAAAACACAAACAGTTACTGTGTCTTCAGGCCCTCCTCTCTCCACTCAGTCTCGCCTCTTTTTGTTCTTCATCTGTCTCTCACTGTCTGTCTCTCTGTTTCTCTGTACTGTTGGTGGAAGGCAGCGGAAACCACATGTTTGAGCTGTTAGTAAGAGAAGAGACGAGAGGCAGATGACTGTTGCACCAACAAACTTCAAACTAGCCCTGCACATGACTTCTGGGAAGCTTTTGTGCTAACTGTATAAATCCATTATTGAGCAAAAAGCATGCTGGATATTTGTCTCTGAAGTCTAAATACTTGCAAGAGGGCTGGGTCTCCATTTAAGCCCTGTTCAAATCCACAGACAAGTGCTGCCCGAGACCTCAGGTTTCCATAAACACCAATAATGTCACGCTAAATTCCGATGACGGGAGTATAAAAAGATGCACATGAATTTTCCATCTCATGAGACATTACAGTTTGGAAAGCTCTTGGGGGAATAAAACAACTCAATCTTCAGGGTTCAATGGGTTTATTACTTGAAGCTTTGAGGGATATGAGAGTCAAATAATGTATCATTTTTGAAAAAATACATTATATATGAGAAGATAGAAATGTACAATTTAAAATTGAGGTACAGGCATTATGTTAAACCATAAAAAAACAATTATGCAATCATTTAAAGAACAAAAGTGTGAAAAGGCGTTTGAATTTGAGTGAATTCATGACATTTGAACTCTTTTCAGACGTTTATCATTTTCATAAAGCCCCATTCTTTTATACTTTTAGATGCATACGAGAGTACAATCATTATTATCTTCATCATTGATTCATCTGTTGAGTATATATATATTTTTTAAGTTGTAACAAGGTTATCCTTAGAGAATGTGTGATAAACATTTTTTTAAAGTAATAGATTTTTGAACATACTGTTTGTGAAGTATCCTTATGATATGTCTAATTTGTAATTTAGCTTAAAATTAAATAAAGTGGTTAAAATGAACGTACACTAATCAATTAACAGATTATTATAATTGTTTTAAATTCATATCTGTCCATGTCTAATCAATTAATTAGCTGATCATTTTAGTATTAGTCTCACCTTGCACTTGACTTTAGCTTTTGTAAAATTGCAAAATGTTTGGCATTGATCCCTCTCTACTCTTTCGCGACCTTTGACCTCAAGACTGTAACTTTTTGTATTTGTCTGTTTCAGAGCTGAAATTGAAATGGTCCAAACCGATGTGAGTGAACTCGAGACACGATTAGAAAAGGTGAGATACATACACCTACACACCCCATTATAATATCATACTGAGTCACTGTCTGAAAAGGTTTCCAGTACTTCACACACAAAGGTATCAGTTACATGCTGCTCCGTGTGTACAGGTAGTGAAGTGAGAGGTGGGCGGTGGTTGTTGAGGTATTTTTCACCTGACAGTGAGCAGGAAGTAGCTGCAGGAGATGCTTCCCTATCATTGTCCCAAAACAGTGAGAGCTACTGTTTGTTCTGCTTCTATGTGATAACATATTCCCCATTATGTGTTTGTGTGAATACATGATACAGTTTCAGATCTATTCTTCTGACAAATGGGTCACGTGTTGCGTTTCTGTTCCTTTATCAAAAGAAAAAGAAAGCATGGGATGTAAAGCCTTAAATTTCCCTTTTTGTTCGATGAACTATCCCTGCAATGTGTTATACAAGGGAATTATTTATGTTGTCAGCACGGAGATGCAGTGGTTACAAAACGGGACTAACTGGGTTCAAACCATAGACTGTATATAGGTTCAAACCCTTCAGGCAGCCTTTATCTGTACAAGTGTCCTTGAGCAGAAATAACAGAGTCCTTCCCATATCCAGTGTTGTTGCTCTGTTGCTGAACTCTGACCTTATTGGCAAAGAAAGACAGAAAGAGATATTTTAAAATGTTAGTTCATTCAATTCAAATTGAAAATAAAGTATAACTTGTTATAGGGCTGTGCGATTATGGCAAAAATCATAATCACGATTATTTGGGTCAATAATTGATATCACGATTATTAAATACGATTATTCATTGACTTTGAAAAAATCAATTTATTGAACTTTAAAACAAATACAAATAATAATTTGAACAGTATCTTTTTAACTGTTGATTACCCTGAACGTATAATTCAACTGAAAAACCAATACAAAAATAAATGATACATTTAAATAAATAATATCAAAATAATAAATACCAATAAACAAGATCAACAAATATTTTGGAGCGCACTTCCCCAAGCTACTAAACATATATAAATACAAATAAATGAGACCAAAATTAAATTAGATCAAATATGTTGCACTGTCACAACCTAGCAAAGCAAAATAATTGTTTTTTTCGATTATGTTGTTTTCGTAATTGTGGCAGGTCAAAATCGTAATTGCGATTAAAATACGATTAATTGCACAGCCCTAACTTATTATTTATTTATTTTTCTATGCTTCTACCATGCTACAGTACATGTTATCATGCCGTTACATGCCCGATTGCAGACAGAGAAACAGACTGTAGGATAAATGTCAGCTTATTGCCAGATATTGAATTAGAGGTGTGAATGACACTTCAGAGAGAAGTTACCGCAATCTTATATTTAGAAACTTTAGACCATGGTGGAGTAAGAGGTCAGTAAAGATATTACTAGAAGTATTAGAAGTAAATCTCCTTCAAAAGTACCATGTTGATGTTGTAGTCAAAGTAGAAAAGAAAACCGTCTATAGGGTTGTTTAATCTATCCCATATTCAACAAACTGAACACATGTTCTGAATGCAACATTTTAATATGCAAAGTAACTGTAGAAGAATAAAGTAGCATAACATGGAAATATTCATGTGAAGTAGCCTACATGTCAAAATGTCTTCAGTGGAAACGGACCTATTGACACACTGTGGCTTATCGGATATAAGCAGTGGGTAAATGTTGGATAAGCTAAAATAAACGTTAGTATATTAAAAGCTCATTCATATTCACACCCTGTGCTGGGATTAACAAGGTCATCAAACTCAATGTAGAAATACAAATTAGAAGGGAAATTACGTTGCTAATAGGCACAGCTAAGCTAACTGAAGAGGAGAGAGAGGTCAAATAAAAGGAGCATTCAACTGTAATGTAACTTTTGCTGAAGAATGTACTCTGTTGCCACAAATGGCATTTACAAGATAACAGTTAATGCTAAAATGTAGCGTAATACAGGCAGCACAAGAAGAAATGAATCCGCAGTGTCATTTAGAAATGTCAGGTTAACAGCAACATCTATCTGAAACTTGCTAACATTAGCCAGCATAAGCTAGGCTTTCTGTCATGCTCGAGCCTGAAGCTTCAAAAACCACCATGTTCTGAATTGAGTATGGTATTTTTTTTACTTCCTTTTATTACACGTTTTAATTTACAACATACATAATTAGTTATTTCCTCTAATAACTATTACATAATCGTTCCTAAAGTGCAGTCTGTGTCACGTTACCACAGTTCTGAGAAGAGGTATGTATAATCAACACAATAAGTGGAAACACCTGTTTGGGTGGATCATGGCTCTTAATGGGCTTAACATTTAAAAGGCTGCGGTTTGGTGTGTATTTAACCTTTTAAACCTTTTCTTCTGCTTTAAATTCAGTTTCACATATTTGGCTTGGTTTTTATATACAGTATATTGGCAAGGCAAGGCAAGGTTTACTTTCAGTTTGTTTTTGACTTTATATACCACAGTGTTACTATTTTTGTACACTATTCAAACTCAGCTACAACAAGCTAGCTAAAGAGCCGGCAAATTCACTTAGAAATTGGTAAATACCGTAACAGAGTTAAAACATAAGTGAATATTGGACTTTCAGGTTTTATCAGTCTTATTAGGTGGCCAGAAACATGAATTAAATTAATGCTAATGTTTCTTTTTGTGTGTTGGCTATGTAAACAGGCCACTCTTAGGCGATGTTTACACAAGAACGAAACAGGTTGTATCTGCTACTTTTCTCTCGCGTATAGCCCGTTCGTTCACACGAGGCCGTAAAGGAACCACGGAAACGGACCCCGCAAACGATAACGGGTCCCAAGGTGGATAGATCTGCAAACGGAACGCTCTGGGGGCTCAGTGTGTACGCCCTATACGATCATTTCCTGATAACGATGAAGCCATAGCCCCACCTCTGCTGCTCACTGCTGTAGCATGGTCAGTAGCTACTGCTAGTGCTACTGCTACTGCTAGTGCTACTGCTAGTGCTAGTGCTACTGCTACTGACCATGCTACAGATGTTAGTGCAAAATCTACAGCTCCTCTACCACAACCATCAGCAACAAGTGGACATGGAGAATTACATGAACTACATGTTGCTAAATCTACCGCGGGGCATAAACAGAAGGGTAGCCATGGCAACCATGCTCGGGGGTCTTCTTCGCTGCTTTTGGTGTATTTTGTGGCAGAAGTACAGCGCCACTTACATATGTACTACAGCGTGTCCAGCGCTTACGAGCGGTCTCGTGCGGAAGTACAGCGCCACTTACAGGCCCGGCATATGTACTACAGCGTTTCCAATGGTCTCGTGTGAACGGATACGTTAAATGAGCCGAATGCGTGTGAACGGAAGACTTTTTTGATAACGAATTCGGTCCGTTTGCGCTCCCGTGTAAATGGGGTCTTAGCTTCAACGTTAGCCAAAACAACCCTAAAATGAAATGATGTGTCAGTATCATGTTAACAGCTTGTTTGACTTCAACTAAATACAGCTCTATTCTCCCGTACAAATGTTGTCTTTGAACCTGGATGTAACATACATTTAAATGTTTCTGTTCAAAATCAAATGTATGTAAAGTTAATGAGTTATATATTGTTACCAGATGTATCATATAAATTAAAAAGCAGTATTCAAACCAAAAATCCTTTACATTCAAGCTGTAATGCAGTTCAATGAACTCCAGACAGCATTTAACAAAAGCTAGGGGTAATATTTACCATGCACAGTAATTACACTCTACAACAATAACCCTCTAACTCTGGCTGTTTCATTGCTTTAATGTGTGGACCCCTGGAATAACCCATAATGTTTAATTATTCCTCTTGATTATGACCAACCATTAGTGACCCTAATTGGACCGTTCTAGTTTGCTTATTCAGGATGAAATTGACTGTGGCGTTGCATGTTTGTGTCATCCAGCTTGTGAAACAATGCCATGCCATGCTGGAGGCCGGCAGAGTCTACTGCCAGACCAGCAAGAGCTTCGTCAACGGCCTGCGGGAGCTGGGACACCAATGCTCCGGGGAAAAGACCATGGAGGTGAAAAAAACCACACATGTCATGTCACATTTACTTGAAAAAGCGTTAGTTTAATTATAATCAGAATTCCTTTATTAGTCCCACAGACATTTACAGTGTTACTGCAAAAGTGGCATAGAAGGGAAAAAATGCAAGCAATACTAAAGAGAAGAAAAGCACACATTAGTAACTATTGACTATTGCAGTAATGATTATACTATTATACGTTTTAATACAATCTGGGATATACTACTTTGTTTAATTTCTTCAACAGATTTTCTCTATAGGTAACGTTTTTGGCACAACATGGGTTTGAATGAGGCTAGATAGACTAAATTGGAACCGTAATCACAATCTGCACCATCCTACTTAACAGAGATATAATGCAATGACAATGCTGTAAAACATTGAAGAGAGTTTAATCTACGATGTCTGTCCCACAGGAGTGTTTGGACAAATTTTCCAAAAAGCTGTCTATCATCTTGGACGCCCAGGGGGTGAGTCTGTCTGTGTCTTTCTGTCTGATTCTCTCAGCCTTTGAACACCACCATCTCCATTTCTTATCCGCAGCAGTTTGTGGTCAAACAAGGCTTCAGCTCACTGTTGAACACATTTGACATTTACCAGTTATCTGCGATACATTTGTCTCTGTCTCCTTTTCCCTTATTAGGAAGCGATTGAAACCACACAGAAGACGGTCAAGACGAAGCTGCAGAACTTTGTGAAAGAGTGAGAGACCTTTTTATTCTTCATCTAGATGCACTTTTTCAGGCTGAGTCACTCCACCTCATGTCTGCTAACCATTAGCACACACATTGAATACAATTTGGGGATTATGATCCTTCATCAGACCTTTTCTTGTACTTTGTCTTGCGCTTATTACAGGTAATGATATGGTAGAATAGATGAGAGAAACAATGTCTCATAGCCAGTGATGTGCTTTGATCCTTTGGGCTCACATTTTTCATATAACCATTTAACATCCCCCACAAAACTGAATTGGGCATTTGGAGATCATCGACCCTATCCACTCCGTTATTTGGATCCACTCTGAACATTTAATGGGTTCTTTGTTGGGCCATTAACATCCTTTTACCAAGTTTAAATAAAATCGACCACTGGTTTTTACACAACAAAGAAATAGAGAAACCGAATGCATAACCTCCTTGGCCAATATAATAAAGATTGCATTTTTCTCTTTCCTTACCATCCTTCCTCCCAGGGATGTTCGTCGGTTTAAGGATGTACGCAAGGAGTTTGAGCGCAGCAGTGAATGCCTGGAGGGGGCGCTGGTGAGGAACGCTCAGGCCCTTCGAGGGAAACCTCATGAAGTGGAGGAGGCCAGCAACGCTCTGCTGAACGCACGCAGGACCTTCAGGTCGGAGGCCCTGGATTACGTCCTGGAGGTGAGAACGAATGCTGGATGGAGTGAAAATACTCAAATACTTCTTTACTTTGTTGGGCTACTGGAAAAAAAGAGATTAACCTTAGACGATTGGTGGACTAAGTACTAAAAGGAAAAGTAATACTACCACAGACTTTTCTATTATTAATATGAATCTTGAAAGTAGCCTAGGTTATCAAAAGAAAAGTGGTAGAATACTCAACCAGACTCTTCATGTTACCAGGAATGGCACTTTATTAAGCTCTATTATATATTTGGCATTACACCTGATATTATCCTTTGCATATCTTTTATTTTTGGCTTGAAGTGCTTGTATTTTCAATATTTTCTTTTTTATTAATTCTGTATATTTTATTACTTTTCTGTCCTTAGCTACTGCTTTCTCTGTTGTGACATCAGTGTATGCAGGTGTCCTTTGTACTAAGTAATGCCTGCATGCAAATCAAATGACCTACTGAAATAATCGTACTACAAATATCCGTGTACATTTGCTGGCATAAAAACAATATGATATATAGCGGGAATTTTAATATGATAAGATTTTATGAAACCAAAACTGGTTAAAGGAGAAACCCAGCCTCATAACCAGGCATTCAGGTACCAAAAACAGCCTGGATAAGACACACAACAGCGGGCTAATTATAGTTGTGCTTTGCTGTTTTGAATGATAACAGGTTTGCCTCGGGGCTTCTCTCCAGACTTGTGGTTGCGGCTCCCAGAAGTTTAACTGGCTGTTTCAGTTTTTCTGTTTTTGGAAGGACGAACACGGTCTCAAACCACTGCTTCTTTTGTTTCAGATTAACGTCATTGAGGCCAAGAAGAAGACAGACATCCTGATGGCAGTGAGTTCACGTTGATCTATATATGCAGTTCATTTTGTTGCTTGCATAAATACATGGTCTGTAAATGTTTTAAATGTATGTGAGGGTTTTGTAAATACTGTCATGCTTCCTGTCAGATGTTGTCACTGATGGAGGCCCAGGCTCAGCTCTTCCAACACGGCCACCAGTCTCTCTCAGAAATGGACGAGTATAGACGAAAACTCAATGAAGAGGTAATTGCTTCTTAAAACCAGATTGTTTTAATTTCCTCTGTTTCCGTTTTATCTTTAAGCAATCATGTTATCTGCCAATATCGCATTTTCTAAATAAATAACAGCTGGGCAGGAAATGGAAGCAAAGTGCTTACTAAGAGTCTAAGAAAAGGAACATTTTGAGCATGCGGTTATGGAGGGGTCAGTGTATCGCCTGCAGGTGTTTGCAGCAGGGCTTTCGCCTATAGATGATTAGCTTAGCTTAGCTTAGCAGCGGGGGGAACTACATACCTTGGCCTACCATTTTAAAGATTAAGATATACCTATTAGTAATAATTCAATTTTCAAGCTTATTGTTGAACTGTGGACATAGCTGTTGGACCCTGCTTCAAGTCGTTATGCTAAGCTAGGCTAATTGAATCCTAGCTCTAATTATATACTCAATGCCCCTACACATGTTTGATGGAGGGCATGACTAACTCATCATTTAACCTAGTCTTGATTCTGTTGCACATGACATTTTAGATTTTAAAATGTAAATGTATTTGAGCCTTTTTCTAACAATTCTTCTTATTTAAAAATAAATGCGATTTTTAAGTGGAAGGTAAATAATGAAATATTTGAATTTCCCACAACATTTTTCTTGGGAGTTTTCTCTTTTAAATATTGCCTCTTTTATATTGAAGAAAAAAATAAACAAATGAAACAGTCATGCCTTTTAAGGAGAAGATAACCACATGCTGATATAAGCAATGCAGCTTTCAAGTCAAAAGTCAAAGTCAGCTTTATTGTCAAAATGTCTACATGTGTTATACATACAGAAATCTTGAAATACCGTTTCTCGCAGTCCCACAGTGTGACATATATACATAAAACAAGATACAAAAAGGGCCTAGATAAACGGGGTATACAACTAAGTAATAGTAGTAATAAGTACTAGTTAATAATATATTTAAAAAAACACAATCCACAGAACATGAATTGACATTAATGCAAGTATTCTTTAGTGCATTAGAGAAAATTATGTTCAAAGTACAGTTTCAGTGCAGTAGCAGCGGAGATGGGTAGAAAAGTGACTGGTGCTGGATGAGGGAAGGTTGTGTGTGTGTGTGTGTGTGTGTGTGTGGTGTGTGTGTGTGTGTGTGTGTGTGTGTGTGTGTGTGTGTGTGTGTGTGTGTGTGTGTGTGTGTGTGTGTGTGTGTGTGTTTGTGTGTGTGTGTGTGTGTGTGTGTGTGTGTGTGTGTGTGTGTGTGTGTGTGTGTGTGTGTGTGTGGTGTGTGTGTGTGTGTGTGTGTGTGTGTGTGTGTGTGTGTGTGTGTGTGTGTGTGTGTGTGTGTGTGTGTGTGTGTGTGTGTGTGTGTGTGTGTGTGTGTGTGTGTGTGTGTGTGTGTGTGTGTGTGTGTGTGTGTGGGGGGGGAGGGAGAGGAGGAGAACATGTTATTGGTCAAAATAAACCTGAACATCTTCGTGCATAATGACCAACATGGTATCTAAAATCTTAAATTTGGATGAAAGTTGCATCAGAAGAGTTCTTGGCGTCTCTCTAAGGGGCGGGGCCTAGTCACAAGCTGACATCACATTTCTACTGTGACCGGAAAAAGTGAGCAACAGGAAATATTTCACATGGCTGTGTGTGTGTGGTGTGTGTGTGTTTAAGTTCCTGCTGTTTGACTGTCCTGTAACAAAAAGACAAACCGTTTTGCAGCCTTGAACATCAGCAGGATTATTGTGTTTTAATCCTGAGTGTTTTAGCGTAATAAAGAGGTTTTTAAAACAGGAAATGATTTGTCAGCGTTACTGGCAGATCAAACCGCACAAAGGCTCTTCCTGTTTCATCAGGAGACGATAGCAGCGAGAATTATCAGATGAGAGAGGGACATTAGGAATAACACCCTGAACAGATTCCACAAGTGTTATCCTTCAGTTTGACACAGGATGTAGGAAGAGGTACAACACTTCCTACTTCCTGTTTCTGTGAGCAAAGACTTCAGGAGTGATAACCTATTCTGAACTTGCATTTCTGACTTCGTGTCATGTCAGAGAGGAAAGGAAAGGAAAAAGGGGAAAGTTGTCCTTTTTAGTACAGTGAATAAATGGGATGAATACAAAAAAGGAGAAACATGTGTCCGTATATTGGAGTCCATGCAATTATACCTACACATGTTTTCAGAACACTTGACATGTTTGTAAAACATGTCTTTTTGTTGTTGAAATTTCCTATTTTATGGGTTATTTTTTTCCTTACCGAATGTATTTAAATGCAAATTGTTTCTATATATATCATATTCAGTTAAATATGTGTTGTTGATTTGTAGAATAGCTAAATGTTGGACTTGGTTTTAAGCCCTAATGTTGATTATTAGCTTGCTGATCAAAGTACCTACTCACTGCCTGTTTCACTTTGAGTAAAACTACAAATATATTATAAATATTCAAGCTTTTCAAAACTCTTGATGCTGCGTTATTATAAGTGGATTCATTATATATAAAGATCCATATTTGTGTCTGGAGAATGACCTCTGTGTGTCGGTTTCTGTTTATCAGCACACTCAGTTTGTCCTCAACTCAGCCCGGGAGAAGAGGGACATGGAGCAAAGACACGCAGCAATCAAGAAGAAGGTAACAAAACACTTTTACAGATATAAATGTCTTTTGTAATCCTAATGTTTAAACCACAAAAAAATGTATTGACTTGTTTTGTTTCAATATTTCCAGGATGTGTCCTATGATGACTCCATCATGGATTTTAAACCTGACGCACCAAATGGGATCGCCATGGAGGGATACCTCTATAAAAGAGCCAGCAACGCCTTCAAGACCTGGAGCAGGTACAAGTTCACCCTCACAACCTCTTCCACTGAACATCTGCTTTGTGTTTGTCTCCTTCCTTGAATAGTACTCAAATGTCAACTGTGTTAAGTGTTTACAGTTTTTTCGTTCTGAAGGCTTCATCCTTGACCTTTTTGTTTTCCCTCTCCACTCCAGGCGTTGGTTTTCTATTCAGAAAAATCAGCTGGTGTATCAGAAGAAATTCAAGGTATATATCTGTGTCTCTATTTTTTTAAAGTTGCCAAACATAGAACAAAATGTGCGTAACAACATGCTCGTTCTGACTCCGTATTATTACCCGCTCTCTCTCAGGAACAACCTACAGTTGTGGTGGAGGACTTGCGTCTCTGCACGGTCAAGCCTAGTGCAGACAACGAGAGGCGGTTTCTGTTTGAAGTGGTCTCCCCGTCCAAGTGAGTGTGTGTGTGTGTGGGCGAGCATGCTTGTGCAACGTGTATTTAAGGGAGGGCGATGAATGTTCATCAGTGTTAAGTGCTTGGATTACAGCGTCAAGCAGAAGAGGGAGGTAGGAGGTGTTTGTGAGAATTTGTACACTTGTATTTCTCATTTATGTGTGTGTGTGTGTGTGTGTGTGTGTGTAGGAGTTGTATGTTGCAGGCAGACTCAGAAAGGCAGCAGCAGGCGTGGATCAGTGCCGTTCAAAACAGCATCGCATCGGCCTTTCAGGAGCACAGAGAGGACACACATAGCCCAGTGAGAACACACACACACACACACACACACACACACACACACACACACACACACACCAATAATACACACACATCATCTTCTACGTCTACATTTTCAGTGGGAGTTTATTCTGCAAATACGGAGGAAGTTGTGTGCACGTGTCCGTCTCCTCATTCCTCTTTTTGTGTGTATTTCTTTGTGTGCGTGTGTTTACCAGAGACAGCGCTGCAGCTCAGTGTCAGCCAGCAATTTGATAGGAGGGGGGGGGCGGGGGGGGAACAGGAGAGTAAGGTGTGCAAGGCGCTGGAGGAGGTCCAGGCGATCGTGGGGAACAAGCAGTGCTGCGACTGCGGAGAGCCCGGTCCCGATTGGGCCTCCATCAACCTGGGCATCACGCTCTGCATCGTCTGCTCAGGAATACACAGGTACACACACACACTCACACTTACACACACACACTTGGCTTGAAACATTATCTGTAATGCTTTCGTCCTCCAACAGGAGCCTGGGAGTCCATTTTTCCAAAGTGCGCTCCCTCACACTGGACTCCTGGGAGCCGGAGCTTATTAAGGTAATTGAACCTGTTAACTGCAACAGCCTCATTATCGCATGTCCTGTGTTAACAAGACGTTCCACTGTGTATAATGATTATGCAATGACTTGTGTAATTGTTTACTGTAACTAAACTCTCCTAATTTCTTTCCTTCCTTTTAGCTGATGTGTGAATTAGGAAACTTGGTAATCAACAGGATCTACGAGGCCCGCATTGATGAGATCACCATCAAGAAGCCCCACCCCACCAGTCCCAGGTACAAACTAACAGACATTTTGTGACATTTGAATGATTTCACATATAGCTTAATCCGTATAGAAAGTACTACCCCAGTCTGTGAAAACTGTTGTGTAATGTCTTATTTGGCTCCGGAGGACAATGACCCCTGTGATGTCATCGGGGGGGGGTCTCTTGGGATTGGACTTTAAACGCCATGTTTTCAGCAGAAAGTCTACTTTAGAAACTAGGCCTAAAGCATAGAGTTGGAACGTATGTACTGCCTCCAACAAACCCAATAAGCATGAAGTGATTACTGAATGCACTGCGATGTGGTGCAGATGAGAATGACAGAAATGTTCTAATGTATCTGTGGGAATTTCTCCTGTTCTGAAAAAATCGATATACTATGCAGTGGGAAGGCATGACCTACTCAATGTCTTGCCATATTTGGTGTGAATAGTAGTAGCAGGTAGTCATGCTCAAATGAAATAAGATGTCAGTACACATAGTGATCACATTGCAAAACAAATTATGAGGCCACACCACAATAAAGCCATACTAGTTACGTACTTATAGAAGTTTACACATTTAATGTAATCATGTATAAATGTGTTTTATTTCGCAACTGATTTGGGCAATTTTTTTTATTTGCCTGAGCTTTGGACCAAACATGACTGTTGGTATAGTTGCAAAATCACTCTGAAGAAATGAAGAGAAAACACCCTCTTCATCTCCTCCTGCTGTCACATTCATGGCATTACATGAAGGTTTCATTCTGCCTATTTGAACATTGATTAAAGACTAACTTGTTTCACCACCTGAGTGAGTGAGTGTGTGAATTAGCTCTGAAAGACTGATGTGTGTAGAGAGAATCAGTTTCTCGTGGCTGAGCTCTAAAAATGTACCGACTGCAAAGGTCTCTGTGGGTGACGGATGGTTATATCAGCAGCCTGCAACTCTTTCAGTCTTATTTTCTGACTTCCTCTTCCCCTCTCTGTTGTGTCGCAGCAGACAGGAAGTGCCACAGGTACATGACACACTTGATTAACGTTGTGACTAAAATGTCCTGCGCACACTTGCTGTGAGGCTGCAAGCTTTTCTGCAGCATTCAGTCTTGTTTTGTCTGGGCTTGTGTTCTTTATTTGAATTTCCTCTGGACTTTTATTTATTCTGTAGATTATACTGTAGACAGCTTGTGCCGTAATTAAATGACGCACTTTCAGTCCTATATAGAGCTCTTTATAATTGAATTGATGGCTTAATTAAAAGACACTAAACGCCTCAGGGACTTGTGTGAAGCATTCTTGTCTCACAGCTGCACAAGCAAGCTGCGGAGTCCCACCGAGAACAAGTCAAACCAGAAACACACTGACAAATACTCCCCAGCATGACGGCTTCTTTTGTTTGTTTTGTGTGAGAGAAATATTCATTCTCATCATCTGTTATTTCTAATCTTCCATTTCGTCGCTTAGAGGAGACAAGGAGTCATGGATCCGGTCAAAGTACGTTGAAAAGAAGTTCATCCAAAAGCTGCCCGAGACCGGCAGGGCGGCCCTGCAGCGGAGGAACCGCGCGCTCACTCAGGAGAGGAACACACAGCGGCCGGCGCTCAAACCCAAGCCGAACCGAGCCACGCTGCCTCGTCTCCCAGGTAAACAGTGTTGTGTGTGTGTGTGTGTGTGTGTGTGTGTGTGTGTGTGTGTGTGTGTGTGTGTGTGTGTGTGTGTGTGTGTGTGTGTGTGTGTGTGTGTGTGTGTGTGTGTGTGTGTGTGTGTGTGTGTGTGTGTGTGTGTGTGTGTGTGTGTGTGTGTGTGAGGGGGGAGGGAGAGGAGGAGAACATGTTATTGGTCAAAATAAACCTGAACATATTCGTGCATAATGACCAACATGGTATCTAAAATCTTAAGTTTGGATGAAAGTTGCATCAGAAGAGTTCTTGGCGTCTCTCTAAGGGGCGGGGCCTAGTCACAAGCTGACATCACATTTCTACTGTGACCGGAAAAAGTGAGCAACAGGAAATATTTCGTGTGTGTGTGTGTGGTGTGTGTGTGTGTGTGTGTGTGTGTGTGTGTGTTTGTGTGTGTGTGTGTGTGTCCAACCAATAATCCTGCCTCTATCTCTGCCTGTCCTCAGGACTGAGCCCGAGCCCCAGCCCCACTGACCTTGTCCCGAAGAACAATACACACAAAGGTGAGATAAAACACGAACGCACACTGATGCAACATTTGTAAATGTGGCCTCTACAGGAAGAGGACGTAACCGTTTCAAAACCTCACTTTCTCTCTGATAACAATTCAAGTTGAACCTTTGCTCACTTCAGAAGTGGAGGAGGAGGAAGAGGAGGACCTGAGCGGGCTGCACCCCGGGGCGCTGCTGTATCGATCAGCAGCTCTGCAGAACTTCCCTGTCATGGCCGACGCTCTGGCCCACGGAGCCAACGTCAACTGGGTCAACGTGACCGAGGAGTCCAGCACGCCTCTGATCCAGGCCGTCTCTGCGGTGAGGAGGGCATTGCATTCGGCTGTAGCATATCATTTGATACGACGACATGTAAGTTGTGTGTTGGTTAACAAAAATACAATTCCGGTTTTCTTACCAGAATGCCCTGGCAGCCTGTGAGTTCCTGCTGCAGAACGGAGCCAACGTCAACCAGGCAGACAGCAACGGGAGAGGACCGCTGCACCACGCCACCATCCTGGGTCACACTGGGTAGGACACACACACACACACACACACACACACACACACACACACACACACACACACACACACACACACACACACACACACACACACACACACACACACACACACACACACACACTGTCCAACACGGTGACAAAGAAAAGGTGACACAGTGAAAAAAGCTGAATTCTTTAGTCAAGGATCCATCATAAGTACAACTTAAAAGATATTTCTAAAGACGCCATCAGAGTGACAACACTGACTGATCTCGTACGCCAAAATTAAGATAAGTATGCAGACAAAACCAGAAGGGCACTCAAAGATTAGAAAAAGACCTATTCTTGCAAATAATGTATGTTTTCGCCCCTTGATTCTGGTCCAGTGCAAAATGTAATGGGTTCCTCCCTTGGCCACTTAATACACACTTCCACCAAGTTTAAGGAAAAACTTGCTTGTGCTTTTTATGTAATTCTGCCTACAGAGAAAAAACCTAAACCTTATCCTTAGATAATTAGACGCGAACACAGGTCAGAGCCTTATGCAGAAGTGCAAGTGTAGAAAAATAAACTGGTTACGTATACATACTTATACTCAAAGAAAACATGTTTAGAATTCCAGGAACGCCCAGGGCCGGAAGCAAAGCTAAGTAGATTCACCCTGTTTGCCCATGTAACATTCCTGTGTTGTAAAGTGTTAAATCCAAGCACAAAGAACGTGTTGAATACAAATGAAATACAAAAGAGGCTCCTATTGAGGAGTTAGTCATGTTCTTAAAGCATTAAATAACTTTGTGCAGTTGATTTATTCATAGTGATGTCAAATATTTCATTCCAAGGCAGATAACATGAAGCCCATTTTTTACTAACTGTACTGATTATCAGGAAGTCTGTCTCCAATCTCTCCTGGCCTCATCTGGGACGTATTGCAGACTTTCATTTAAGAATTCCATTTTGAATGTACGTTGAAAATCAGCGTTGTGAACGTTTATGGTCCTAAGTACCTTTTTGGCTCCACAAACTAAAAAGCCAGAGGAACTTCAATTCAGGAAAAGAACCTTCAAAGTGATTCTTGAAATGTCCTGGCTACAGAATGGAGGATTTCGTCGGTCAGATCATTCTTTTTCGACTTGGGCGTCAATGCACTGTGCTAGTCACACACACTCTCACACACTTTCTGCCTCTCTTTGCTTTCCCAGGTTGGTTTGTCTCTTCTTGAAGCGGGGAGCAGACTACAACGCCAGAGACAAGACACAGAAAGACCCCATATCTATCGCCGTGGACACCGCCAACGCTGACATCGTCACTCTGTGAGTGTTTTGAGTCGACAACAAAACGACAAGTGACGATATAAGATCCGCTTTTCTAACTGCTCTGCTCCCTTTCAGGCTGCGGATCGCCAAAATGAACAAGGAGATGCGGGAGATGGACGGAGCGTTTGGCCAATCAGGTCACTCGGGGGGGCATGGGTCTGGGGGTTCAATTGGAGGGACAGGAGGTGGGCGGGCTCACACCAGAAAGAGTCTACAGGCGATAAAGAACCATATAAGTGGCTGGAATCTGGGGGGGCATAATGATTAGAGGGGGTACCAAGAGACAGGCAGTGGGACTGATCAGCTGTTTCTGATTGTAAGCTAAACGTTATTAAGCATCACAATCACCGGTTTTGCGGTGTCATGTGGTTTTTATCTGCAGCATCTGCACAGAAATTACGACATATCATTAATGGACACATGCATCAGATACAAAATAAATTGCCTTCATTTAGAAAGCATAAAATCAGGTTCTTGTAAACCACGAGAACCAGAGCACAGGGTACGACAGCGTAAAGGAAGCAATACCAGATTTCATATATCAGTAAATACAGGAGAATGTCTGGTGAAACAGAAAGGGACACTGGGAGAGTGATGGGAGTCCACATCGCACTTTGAATTACAAACGCACAACACCCTGCACTTTGAAAACCCTTCACAACACCTTGAAGAGAAATTGTATAGACCTCTGTCAGGCCTATTTGATCTGATACTGTATATTTTAGATATCTTTTAAATACAATATGTACAGTGTTCTGTTTTTATTGTGTATATTTAAATTGGGCTCTTCAGTCCAGGTGTGTAAGCTGCATTTATTGTTGGGTTTCTCAAGGACGGTGTTATCCTGCTATTCTGTGAATAGCGACGCAGTTTGTTATGTATAAGAGTTGCAGCTCCGACTGTAAGCTTAAGGTTAACAGCGGGTTTGTTTGCATTTTGTCACGTGGCTCCTTCTCAAGCTGCAAAGTCCATTCTTTCATGTCCTTTAAGTGGCTTTTTGTTTCTCGTGTAAGCTGTAATCAATCCACTCGTGAAGGAATGGAAACGTGATGCTTTTTTTTTTCGTGTGCTTGAAAACAAACTGCTGGTCAGTATTTTACGTGCTTTATCAATGTGTGTCTTTGTTGTGTGCACTCTTCTGCCCGCTGAGATGCCCAGCTGCTCTCAACTGCTTGTGCAGTGTGCCACCTACTGCAAACTAAGAGGTAAAGTGCATGTGTGTTTATTTGTTCAGATGCATGCTTTTGCTTTAGGGCTACAACCCTTAATGTGTTCAGGAAATAGTTGGCGGGCCTGTAAGACTGAATTTCTCTCCTGGAGAGTTATCCAGAATAAAATATATGGTTTAAACAAGAGAAAGGCATTCATTTAAGATGAATTGAACTGCTTACAATACTTTTAAATGTCAAGCTTTAAGGCTAATGTCTTCTTCTTGTTTCTGTTCCAGGTGATGAAACCTACCAGGATATATTCAGGGACTTTTCTCACATGGCCTCGAACAACCCAGAGAAGCTCAAACGCCGCAGTGCCGATCCCAAATCGTACCCTGCCTGAACCACATTTCACACGATCATGCTTTCCATCACACAGAAAACATGGATCATAGGTTCTCGCCGGCATGCAGACACACATTTCTCCTGGCCACCTGCCACATGTTTAGTCATAGCTCAGCTGGTGTTGACTTCAGAGGGGATGAACGCTCCGAACAGGGAATTCTTTGTGTGACACGTCAGAGCAGAACAATGTGGGAACACTGGAGCAGCTTAATGAGAGCAGCATGAGGTGTCTTTATGTGAAGCAGAGGGAAACGCCATCACTCTGCCAAGGTTTCTTAATTAAATCTGGTAAATCTTTTATTTTCTTTAACTAAAAGGGCTTTTTTTTATGATCCTCTGCCATTTCTATACAGTTGTTACGTGAAAAAGTGAAAGTGTTTGTTGGAAAATCTGTTGCAATTGTACAATTTTCATGTCAACTGTCTTCCAGGGAGTTGTAATGTATACAGCTTTTTACATTTGGGATATTTGTTGGCACCTTTGCTTGAGGTACTTGAGTTTTTGTACAATGATCAAATAAACTGCAATACAAACATTACATTTAAGTGTGTGGAGGTTTATCTTTTACAGTAGTATTGTGTGCTGTCATGAGTACGTTTCTCCAGCAGAGGGCGCCCTTGTGTAAAAACAATCATAATTCCTGCTTAAAAAGTGTATGACTGAGACAAAAAAGGACAACGTGGAGATGTGTTTGAACAAAATACATTGCCTTTTAATCAACATTACAAAACAAAATCGGCTTTGGATCATTCACCTGCCAGGATAACCTGGTTAAGACAAATATTTCACACCTCCAACCCTTCCATTCAGTAGCTGCCTGTGTGAGCAAGAGTCATACTTAGAAGTCACATGACATGAATTGAAAATTAGCCAGAGGGTCACAGTGACTCTCTGGCATGCCAACCTGGCAATCTGTGATTTTAATAGTCTGTTTTTGCTTTACAAAAAGTACAAAGTGTTCAGTCATCAATGATTCTGGCAACAAAATGAACTTGTGAAATACGAGTCTTGTAATGAGCAACATGATGCCTCGATTAAAAGTCAAATTTGTTCTGCTAATAATAAGAAATTCACTTTCTTATAATCATTCATCTATATTCATAAATTACACAGGAGTGTAAAAACCAACACATTGAGATTTTGGAATGTATAAAAATATGCACAATATTAACAGAAAGGCTAAAGGACTCCCGAGGCACTAATAAACGTCCATGTGTATTTGTAGTGTGTACTTAAATGTTTTTTGAAGATGTACACACACAATACAGACGGCAGGAGTGACGGGGTGAAATAATCCAGCCATTCTGATAAACCATATCTTTGGTGCTCTTGTCATCCGTGCCTCATTAAAATAACATTTTAAATAACAATAGTGAAGAGTGATAAATCATGCAAGTGCAAAATTGAAATATGCTGGTCAGTGATTCAGCATTTTACATTCAGATACACAAAAAAAAATTATTTTAAGTTTCTTTGTGAAGTATAGAGAAACAATAAAATCATATATTTCACATTTTCCTACACATTTCCTATCTTGCATGCCATCTACTGTGCATATAAAGCAACACATCTGTACATTGCAAAATGAATGCTGAAATGCCTAATGTTTATTATAGGCAGACGTTGCTGGCCTACATATTAAACTGAGGTTAGGATGTGTAACAGAGTCGGGAACACACTGGCCCCTTTGTGCTGTCGGAGTTTCACAGTAAGCCTCTTTCTTCTTTGGGTTTGAATCTTTGAGGTATAACACATTTTTTTAGGTAGCATATTAACTATATGTGTCTTCAGGAAGGCGATTATTGGTTACTTCCCCTGTCAGATCATTCATGTCTGAAGGTGAACTATGCATCTGTTCCAGCTCTGCATGTAAACCCTTATCTGGGTCCTCAGGTGAGACGCTTTTGGGGGGCGGAGGATCCTTACCGCAGAAATAGTGAGGCAGGGTAACCATGCTCAGAGTACCGAGAACAACGAAACCTCCCGCTACCATGAAGGACGCCGTGTAGTCCCCGGTGATGTCCTTCAGTAACCCTTGGGAGACAGAAAAACACAGAATAAGAACAAAAGAGTATACAGATGTTGCCTGAGAGGTTTAAAACAGTCAAATTCTGAGGAGAAACTAAGAAGACGCTAAATGCTAGCCTCATGCTAATTCAGAAAAACATTATTCCAATGAATGCAAGATAGAAGAAGCCCTGTTTAATGTTTAACAAATAACTAATGTCATTACTTTTATTCAGTTGTATGTCATTTAATTAGGTCTAATTACTATAACTAACTAAATCAAGCGCAGGTGTGACTGATGAAGCTAATTGCAGCTGGAGCAGAGCCTCGTTAGTGTTATTAGTGTCAGCTGAGCGGTGTCTACTAAGTCAAAAATGTCTCCTGTGAATACATAGTGCTCTTTTGTCGCCAACATTATCAAGGTTCAGCGTAACAAAGCTTATCAAGAAACTAAAGCAACATGTAAGAGACAGGATGGAGAGACTTTTGAGTGAGTCAGTGGTGAGTGTGTTTTAGTTTCTTAAACGGACTGTACATGTTCTACTGAAGAAAAGTTCTTACTTTATTAATGCTTTACCTCCCAAAATGAAATACCATTCATTCCGATTGTATTGGGATAGAGTATCTATCTGAGTAGTTATCTGTAGTGATGGCAAAATGAAGCTTTGAATGAAGCATCGAACCACTTGGACAATTGTGTCGGAAATAGGTTCATTTCTCGAAGCTTCAGTTACAGCGACCTCTCCTGGCGAAGTGCAAGGCTGCAGTGGGTTTAACGTATCTTTGCCTTGAAAAATATTCGATGTACACACACACACAAGACTGAATATCATGTTCTATTTGCAATTAAAGATTGATAATTGTGCGTATTGGGTTATTGAGAAGAGACTAGAGAGTGCTGGAATTTTGTTTGGGCGGAGAGGGCCTTTTATCAGTTAATAAAGTATTAAAGTTGAAAAGAAATGATTAAAAGTTCATCTGTTCCGGGCTTTGAACCAGCTGCGCGGAGGACATCGTCGCTTCGGGCCGCCGGCTCTAACCACTGGGCTATCTATACCTTAAGTTAGTAACATGGTTTTCATATTAGTGTTAACGCAAACTACGACAACAACCCACACATTGCGCATTGTTTAGAGTGGTTATAAGTGTTGAAGCGCTCAAATTCGAAACAGTTTCAACCTGTCACCTGTCAGAATAGAGACGAGGCAGTGCATTGAATCGCGTGATTGGACCGCGAACCAGTCAAGTGATTCATTCAGGAAATGAAGCAGTTGGTGCTTCGGACGTCATATGTCACGTGATTTGAAGCAGTTGCTGGTTCGGACGTCATATGTCACGTGATTTGAAGCAAGCTTCGAATCACTGCTTCTATGGAATAGGAAGTCCAGGGTTGAAGCTCCGTTCGAAGCTTCAGTGTCAAACTGCCATCACTAGTTATCTGAGTAGCAAGGTACCGTTTAAAGGTTAGGTGAGAAGAAATCGTTTTGTGTAATCTGGGTGCACTGACACTTTAAGACATCTTGATCCATTTCAATCTGCTACTACAACCTTGTGATGAACTTCCCTCTAACTTTTGGTAATTATGGTTTCATATCAGCTTTTTGATAGAAAATGAAAAACTGGCATTTCCCTCTTTTGGTCATCATGACATCTTCTCAATTTGAGCTCTGATGTTTATGAGCTGCTTGGTTTCTGCCGCGGCCTCTGTATCAAATTAACAAGTCTTCCTTTTTCTGGACTGTGAAAGGGTATACTTGATCGTAAAAACTATGTAACCTCTGTTGAAGGGTTTAAATACCCACTTTCATTTCAAGCTAGTAGGTTTGGATTGGCACTTCAAATGGCGGACCCTCCACATGAGTGCAAGTGGGTAGTGTAGGGATGTATTACAATAGGAGTGGAAAAACAGAAGAGGAAAAGAAGTGACTGATAACTAAAGTAACTAAAGGTCACCTATTGTACAAAATCCACTTTTTCATGTCTTTTCTACATCAACATGTGTCCCCATGTGAAAAAAGATTCTCTCTCTTTGTCCTGATCCATTTATATAAAAACCTGTCTGAAAATGAGCTGCTCAGATTTTGGCCACTTTATGATGTCATAACGATTTTTTGGCTTGTGTAACCATTAGCCAATCAGCAACCAAGGTAAACCCCCCCCCCACCTTATCACCTGAATCTCCTCCTAGAGCACCATTGTGTTCTTTTTAACCAAATATCTCTCAGAGGGGCGTGGGGAGGGGCTCCTTATTTTCATCTAAAGTAACAGACAGAGAATCAGCACTTTTGAAACAGGGCTGAAACAGAAGGGATTATGGGATGCTGCAATGATCTGTTTGGTGTTTGGAGCCAAACACTTCAGAGACATGTTTTGTATATATCTGAGACCTATAATATATTGATGAAAAACAGTATAATAGGGGACCTTTAATATTTGACTACTTGTATCATTATGTGTGTGATTAAGGTCACTTTAGATAACATGTAGATAACATTGGAGATAAAATGGTGGCAACCAGAGCAATCAGTCTGCTCCATCAGTCTGCTCGTACCTGACAGTGGGGCCCCCAGCAGTCCCGCGCCGCTCTCGATCAGCTGCAGCAGCCCGAGGGCCCCCATCATGCGCTCCACGCCCACAATCATAGGCACCACCGCGAACACCAGGGAGGTCAGCGCCCCGGAGCTGAAGCCGTAGAGCAGGCTGATCACCATCAGAGCGGCGTACGATCCGGACAAGGAGCTCACGGGCAGCAGCATGATGAAGACCCCCGCCAGGGTGGTCCACACACTCAGCAGGTGGATCAGCCGGAAGTGACCAAGGTCTGAGAACCAGCCCGACACTATGCGACCCAGAATGTCCGTAGCACCGGCGGCAGACATGACGAAAGCAGCCTGGTACTCCGAGAAGCCCACTTGGCGGCTGTGGGCCACCAGGTGGAAATACGGCACGAAGTAGCCCACGTTAAGAAGACTGATGGCCAACGTGTAGGTGATGTACGGCCGCTCGAACAGCAGCGGCAGCTCCAGGTAGGAGGAGGCTCTCTGCAGGAAGGAAGCACAGGATACTCCGCTCTCTGAAACCACCTGGGGGAGGAAAAGGAGGAAATGCTGAGATGTATTTTCGCTTAATAACACCACATCACTTTCATCTTTCCTATTTCAATCAGTATGCTAATCAATTTCTGCTGGGAACAGTTGACTTAGTCTGGAAAGTACACTGTTTTAACGACAGTAACATGAGAAAATGGTCATAACATCATGCTGAATTTTTGAGTTACGTTGAACATCATGTTTTGTGAGCTCACTGTACTGTTGAGCTTTGTACATCAGATTTGTATCAATTCCTCATTAATTCAAGTTGGACATTTGAGTTGTTGTCACAAGTCTTGTCCCACCTTTGCTGGGGCTTTAGAGCGCCTCTGTGGGCCGATGAGAGCCCCACAGGGCACGATGTTGAGGCTGAGGCCCCCCAGGATCAGCAGAGCCCCCCGCCAGGTGTACAGCTCCACCAGCAGCTGGAAGAGCGGGTTGA